AATTTTATTGTATATTTGTATAAACCAATTCAAAAGAAGAAAATTGATATAACACTATGGAGTTTTGGTAATTAGCTACTGAGATATAAGGTGTTTTGTCTAGAAAAACCCCCCACTTCGGCAACCCCTCAGTCCGCCATTTTGAAATTGGGAGTGTTGAATTTTGCATCAAAAAAACTTACATACCTCAGCTTTTATCTTATTTGTTACTTTTTCGAATTTTAATTTTTGCTCATACAGGGTGGTCAAAAACGCAAATTGTAGTTTTTCTCAAAAATTTCAAATGCATCACCCTGTTTATTTGGATTTTTATAAGCCTTTTTTTTGATACGAGACACGTAAGGGTTTTTACGGCTATTTTTGTCGGTTATTAGCACGTCTTTTATGGAACGGCATAATTCCCTAAAATATCGCATCATCCTTGGAAACAAATAAATTGTTGATTAGTTACAAACTGTCAGAATTAGCTTTGTGAACATTATAATAAAAACGTGTTTAAAAATGATTTTTTGTAAAGAAGAAATGGTGAATATGGAGTTCGTTTTGGGCGAAACCCAAAGAAATAGTTTCCTAGCATCTCGCATTTATAAGCAACGGTACCCTAATATGCGACATCCAAGGCCGGAAACATTTTCCACACTACGAGAACGTTTTGAATCAAGTGGAGCAGTGGAATATAGTAAAAAATGTTTAAATAATCCAAGTGGCACCAATGAGGCGAATCAGTTGGAGGTTCTATTAAAGTTGCAGGAAAATCCCCATTAAGTGCACGGCAAATTGGAGCAGAAACTGATATATGCAGAACTTCTGTCCAAAGGATTATTCACAAGCATAGGTACCATCCATATCACCTATGCTTGCATCAAGGCCTTCGTCCTCAGGATTTCGCAGCTCGAATGGAGTTTAGTAGAATAATGCTAAATAAAGTGACGGAAAACCCTTACTGGGTTAGGCAAATAGGTTTTAAAAATAAATGGAGCTTGAATGTTTGGGGAGGAGTTATTGGCAGACAAGTTATCGGGCCTTTCTTTTTCGACAACAGATTAACAGGTACAGAATACCTGAATTTTTTGGATGTCAACCTGCAAACTCGGATGCATATCTACTTCCAACATGACCGCGCACCCGCGCATTATCATAATCGTGTGCGTAACTATTTGGACACCTGGAGTAACAATCGTTGGGTCGGTCGTGATGAGCCTATATCTGAGCCTTCTAGATCACCAGATATGACACCGATTGACTTCTTTCTATGGGGCTACGTTAAGCAAGAGGTTCATAGATATCACCATCTTACCCGAAAAATATGAAGGAAAGGATTAAGGATGCTTTTCTGAACATAAGGGAACACATGCTAAGGGATGTGCAATGCTCCTTTATCCTAAGACAACGGCTGTGTATTCAAAGTGGTGGAGATATTTACGAGCAGTTTTTGTAGATTAGGTCTTGAGTAGTGATAGTTGTTTGTTCATGTTGTTGTTATAGTTGTTTTTCTCTATTATGCTTGAAGCTGATTTATACTGGTCTGATTGTTATTAGTTTTTACGTCAAATCTGTACTCTTAGTGGCAATATGGAACTAGCTGTCTGTCTTTTGTTTCCACGGATGAAGTGATTTTTTCCTTAATTTTGGTGTGTTGTTCTATTAAAAGCTTAATAACTCAAAATCTAGTGTTTTTATCTGAATCAAACCCTATACCAAAAAAAGCTTATGTAGAATTGAATCCAAACTTACACAAATGTTTGTGATGCATGCATCTGAAATTTTTGAGAAAAAGTATAATTCGCGTTTTTTACCACCCTGTATGAGCAAAAATGTAAATTCGAAAAAGTAACAAATAAGATAAAAGCGTGTAAGTTTTTTTTTATTTAAAATTCAGCACTCCAAATTTCAAAATGGTGGATTGAGGGGTTGCCGGAGTGGACGGTTTTTCTGGACAAAACATCTTATATCTCAGTAGCTAATTACCAAAGCCCCATAGTATTTTATATCAATCTTTTTCTTTTGAATTGGTTTATCCAAATATGCAATAAAATTTGATGCATTCCACTCAAAAAATCACAATTTGATATGTAGGTCAAAATTGGGACACCCTGTATATTGCCAATATTTTAAAAATGTGCCCTCAAATGTCATGTATAACATGCCATAGATTTTCCCAAAATGTATTTGTTTGTGAGTAATATTCCGTCCACACATGAATGGGCTACCGTGTATTATACAAAATTTGGCAGTGTGCAGTACTCATAGTAATATTCTAGTTCATAGGTTTATGTTTGGTAAATAATTAAATATGTAAAATGAAGAATGGACTCGGGATCCATCCTTATACAATTTAGGAAAGCTCAGAAGCATAGAAGTTCTTGTCAAACTTCACTGAATTGTTATTCTGTAAGAGTAGCTAAAATAGATTTACATTATTTTACATTTATACGCTCCCAACATTGGTAATTTACGCACCTATTTAACACTTCATTGGTTTCTCTGTACGTTAGCCTTGAAATTCTCGAGGGACCGTGATGACTGTTCTTTTATGAAATCACAAGTAATGTTGCCGAGCAATAGCATAGTGTTTTCTAAGCACTACCGTGCCCACGATCCACATCTGCCCAAGTTAGGTATCGGGGAGAGGCGACGTTACCAGATGCACTGCCGTAGGGCAGGGAAAGAATGTCTCTGGGCTAATTGGATGGACCTATTTGACTTTTTTCTCGGAGGGTCTAGTTTGTGCTGAACATATTCATATTAATCAGGGCGTTGTGTGGAAAATGCTTAGTCAACCTGCTTGACGCCATTTTTTGTCCATACAAGCAGAAGAAGGTAGAAAGCTCAGGATATACTTTTTGGAGGCAAAACACAAATATTCCGTCAAAATAAAAATTTCTGATAATATCCTATCGGAATAGAATGCATTTACATATCCTTCCACGCGATACATCTTTGTGAATCGCACTGAAACATCATCAGCCGACTTTCCTGTGTTTACAAAATGGTCATAATAATTTGAAGAGTTCCCTTAGTTGCATCCCACGTGGAGATGCCATGCGACAACGTTTAGCTAAATACGTGAGTTGTTCAGTGACTGCAGGATTCCTGGTCAGAGGCGTGTGTCCTCCAGATCGCTATGCTACGCAGCAGCTCGAGTGAAATGCTGTACAAACACTAAAAGCGCAATTTCAAAAGCTCTAAAAGACATATTACAGAACGCTAAATGAGCGACGTTGGTGCCACGCTGTTAAGGCTGTTGATATGGACACAACGTTCAGATAACTAATAAGCTATCGCAATGGCTCAACACCATGGCCTCCGCCTTAGCCTTCTATTACTAAAATTATATCATGGGAAAGAAAATCTAAGCATTCTTTCCAGATGTATAGAATAATCAAACCATTTGACTACACACAGTGTTCGAGTGGACTGTACAGCAGCCTGGTTCAAGAAATGATATGCCTGTTGTCGCCTATCTTTGATCCGATATTTTGTTAAAATCCTGGTTCCTATTCCTTGCGTATCGTTAATACAGGAGCGCTCCTCTTGATGTGGTCGGCGTGTAGATAGCGGGTGTGGAAGCGGTTGGAGAAGCGGGGATGCAGTTAACGGATAGCAGATAAATGTTTACTTAAGGCTACTGCTGAGGTTAGCTAGTAACTCTCGTACTTCCTTGGATTGTGCTAGCTCCGCATGCGCGTGGGGTAGCAAGCGCAACTCATATTCGCCTCAAAATATCTCTAACACACAGCACTTATAGGAACTTCCTCCTGGCCATGGTAGGAGTCAGTTCAATAAGTAAGTTTTAGGGGTAACTCCGAAGTTTAGGAAGTAAGTAATCGGGTGTCTGGTACTTAACTGTCGTGCTCATATCTCTTAGGGATACCTGAGTCCGAATCTGACAGCAGTTTGTCTGTATTATGTGATTCGAAAGGCGTTCCGAGGTCTCTTCAAGGTCAAATTGAGGAAATACTAAGAAATCAAATCTACTAGACCTGTATCTGGATTTTTGGAATCGATGAGTCCAAATCAAAGGTCGGTTTGTCCGCATCAGGTCCTTTGGAGGGCGTCTAGAGGTCCGTGCAATGTCATTTCAAGGTCAGAATATGAAAATGTCGAGAAGTTAATTCTACGTAGATATGTACGTTGACTTTTGAGGTCGCTAAGTCCAAATCTGAGTTAAGTTTGTCCGTTCAACATCAAATTAGCAAGTCAAATCTACCAGATCTTTTCGAAATAACTTTGAAATAACCTCGAAAACAGATAAGCATGAGAGATAGGTACTAGGTACTTGATTACATACTTCGAAATTTTACTTAAAACTGTCTTTGAACGGGCCTTCGCCACGGTCCAGTAGGAGGTTCCTATACATGGACAAATGTTTTGATCAAAACTGTATTAGACTGAAAACTGGACTTATGGGCCCTCCACCATTGAAACAACCATAACTAAAAACTATTGGCTGTTCCATTTGGATTTATAGAAATAGAATACCAGAAAAATGTCTTGCTTGATGATGCATATCAGCCTTTTTAGCACGCTCAACACAGACGTATTGACACGATTATGCTTCCTGCAGCTTCCTGTTAATTATACTGCAAGTATGCTATTTACTTAGATAGACTGACGTTAACCAGACGTTGCGATGCTGTGCAACGCCATTTCGGTATGTTGAAGCACCGAAGAACTTATATTGACTTTATTATTCTCGATGCTACGTTACTCAAAAATATAATTAACCATTGAAAAATATAGTTTACACTAATCACCAATACGTTGTAGCGTTATAGTTTTATCGCTAATTTACGAATAAGTCAGAAAAAATGAGTATCAGGATGTAACTGTCCTGGGTTGGGGTTGTAAAAAATGCATTTTAAGATAACTGTACCTAGTGCCGTTTCTAGTTGTGAGTCGTACGTAATTTTCGAGCGTCAAAGTGGAGCTTTGCGCACTTAATACATAAGTCGATGTACCGGCATTGGTATACGTTCATCAACATATTTTTTCCACAGCTGAAATCCAAGGCAAGCACACAACTTTGCAGTGGCGTACCATCCACCTAGGAGGTCTCTACCACGAAGAGGAAGAGGTCAGCATGACTACGACGGTGCCTAACTTTGTCGGTGAAATTCAGCATTTCTATTTGAACAACATACCGTACATAGAGCTGGCTAGGGCATTGAGTACTGAACAGTCAATCGCAGGTTTTCCTTCGATCAAGGTAACGGCGAAATTTGTCAAGCACGCCACTGACAATCTTCATAGACCGGTCACGTTTAGGTCGAAACATACTTTTATTGGTAAGTAAATAGTTCTTCACTCCTTTTTTGATGCATTAACATTTTCCATAACTTCATTTTAAGAGTAGGGTTCGGTCAACAGTGTATTTTGTTGCCCGCGTCAAGAACTGATTGGACCAAAAACAATTTGTACTGATTATTATAAAAGTAATCATACTATTACCACTATGATACAGAGTCCGTCAGAAAGAATTCAAGTTTTTCGAATGGGTACTACATCGAGTGGGCTGGTCCCGTATCGGTGGGGAATGGCGTGTTGGATAGTGGGAGACGTGCCGTTTCAGTTGGCAAGATGGTTTGGAACGTTGAGCGTCGTGTGTTCACTGTACGTCGGTACTTTCAAAATGGCAAGTCTAGTATGTCTTTCGAATGCAACGTGAGTTTCGCATTCACTGTGTTCCACGTCGTGGGACGGTACCAGACCGTAACACCATTTTGAGGTGGGAGGAAGTATTCAACACAACAGGTAATGTGATGAAGAAAAAACCGCCAGGGCGAAACCGTAGTGTTAGAACCCCCGAAAACGTAGACAGGGTGAGAGATGACACGCTGCAAAGCCCGAATCATTCCGTCCGTTTGCGTGCCGGTTCCCTAGGGATCCACGCGTCCTCTGTACGTCGCATCTTGAAGAACGATTTAGTGGTCCATCTTTACAAAATCCAAGTTCGTCAACAACTGTTGCCAGGGGATTATGCACAACATGTTAATTTTGCACAGCTCATAATTGAACAGTTGGATAAGAATTACATGACGTTGTTTATGAGTGATGAAGCACATTTTTCTTTACATGGATACGTCAATAAACAAAATTGTCGATATTGGTCTCCAGTGAACCCTCAACAGTTACATGAGAACCCCCTGCATACCCCGAAAATTACAGTTTGGTGTGCAGTAGGCCCAACGATGATTACACTGGACAACAAATTTTAGTTTTTTAATTGTATCTTGTGGGAAAAGTGCACTTCTTTGTTAATTTTGGGGCGCTGAATCCAAAAATGACAATGAAATCAAAAAATTAGTTGCGGTTTAGAAAAAAACTTTTTATTTTTAAGGATATATTAAAAAAAGTAACAAGATTCATATACTTATAAAAATCACTATATGCGCTGTCTTTTTGCTGTTCTTTTATGGATCGTTTCTGGAGCATCTCTACCAAGAGTCCAACAGTAGTCTGCAAGCATGGAAGGATTCCACTTTCCCTGGTACCTTTTTTCCATTGTTGAAATATCCTGATGAAAACGGTCGCCGTGCTCATCACTTACGGCTCCGCAATTGTCAGGAAAAAAGTCCAGGTGTGAGTGTAGGAAATGTATCTTAAGAGACATATTACAGCCCATCTTTTGATACGATGACAGCATATTTTTGACAAGGGTTTTATAGTTGTCAGCTTTTCTATTTCCCAAGAATCTAGTGACCACCAGACGGAAATCATTCCAAGCAGTTTTTTCAATACCTGTTAAAGTGTTTTCAAACTGTTTATCTTTCAAAATATTTCGAATCTGTGGCCCAACAAAAATACCTTCTTTAACCTTTGCCTCACTTAGTCTTGGAAATTTCTGACGCAGGTATTGAAAAATGCCTTGACAAAGTTTTTCATTAGGCCCAACTTGATATGCAGTGGTGGTAATAAAAATTTTTCGAATCTACTAATGGCATATGCTGTACATTTTTTTGACCTGGCTCTAGGAATTGACGAACAGGCCAGTTTTGTCTGGTGAAATGAAGTGCCTTTGCCCGACTGTCCCATTCACACAAAAAACAGCAAAACTTTGTGTAGCCTAGCTGCAGCCCAAGTAAAAGTGCAACAACTTTCAAATCGCCACAAATATGCCATTGGTGCTCATCTTATTTTATGCATGTCAATAGGTACTTCATATTGTCATATGATTCTTTCATGTGAACTGCATACCCTACAGGAAGAGATGGTAAAATATTTCCAATATGCAATAACACTGCCTTTAAACTCAATGTTGAACTGTCTATAAACAATCTCCATTCTTCTGGGTTATAGTTTATATTTAAAGCCGCCATTAAGCCGTTAATGTTACTGCAGAAAACCAAGTTATTCTCCATATTGAAAAATGGTTCTAAGTCTTTGTGGCGTTTACGAAAAACACATACTGAAACATCGTCTTCTAACAAGTTCCACTGCTACAGTCTTGATTCAAGTAACTCTGCCTTACATTTTGGAAGTTCTAAATCTCTTACAAGATCATTTAATTCTGACTGTGATATTTTGTGCGGTTGGTGGCATGATGTGCTCGGTATAAAATCAGGATCTCTTGACGTTGATGGCATATCTTCTTCCTGACGAATCACTCGATCGCCATGATCTGATTCGTTTTCTGATTCGCAAGTGTAGGATTCTGGGGGTTTTGGAATAGGATTTTCGTCACTGTGAGGCACAGGTCTCATCGCAGATGGTATGTTTGGGTAGTTAATAACAGATTTTTTTTTCTTGGACATACCTGTGGCTTGTCCAACACAAGGTACCATGCAAAAGTAACAATCATTAATATGATTTGTAGGCTCTCTCCAAACCATTGGGACAGCAAAGCGCATAGACCGTTTTTTGCCATTTAACCAGCTCCTCAGACTTGAAGCACATGTATTACAGCAGATGTGGGGTGCCCACTGTTTGTCTTGATCACCTAGTTTACAACTGAAATAAAGCTGATATGCCTTTGTTATTAGTGGAGTAATAGACCGTCTCTGAGACGCAAAAGTCACATCACCACACACGTAACAAAACTGATATGGATTGTTTACACACTTCCGAGACATCTTGCATGAACGCTGCTAGCACGTGCATTCTTGTGAATTACAGTATATTAACACTGTCACAGCAGGAACACATATATAGTAATTACCGTATCTGTAAAACTTGAACTAATATTGAAAAAATAAGTTTCATTCCGGTTTTAGCACATTAAAAATAGTAATGTTTTGTTGATTTTATTTAGGATATTTTTTGGCTGTTGATCAGTGTTATTGGCCCTTATTTTTTTTTGAGGATGATGGAGAAACAACTACTGTGTATTCAGAGCGTTACATCCACATGCTGAACCACTTTCTTTCCGGAACTTCGACGTCGATGTATCCATCTCAGAACAGTGTGGTTCCAACAAGACGGGGCAACATGTCTCACAGCTCGCACTTCGATGGAACTTCTTCAGCAAAAATTCCCAGGACGGCTCATTTTACGTCATGACGATATTCCATGGCCCCCTCGCTCCCCGGACCTGTCAACGTGTGATTTTTTTATGGGACTACCTAAAATCAAAAGTTTACAAAAGCAAGCCTCGGATCCTCGTCGATTTGAAAGAGGAAATAAGAACAGAAGTAACTTATATAAAGCAACTTAAAATCTTTCGAACCAAATCGCATAAAAAAACTTCGCAATAATTGACTTTTAATAGCTCAAACCGCTAAATACTGTATACTCGGAAAACTGATTTGAAGTTTCAATTGATTCAACCATTTTATTTTCAAGATAATTCATACAACATTTACATGTATTGAATGTAAAATTTCTTATTTAGGTATATCAGAAACAAATTTATAGAAACTTTAAAGGGCGTTAAAATGGTAGTTTTTTAGAAATCGACCTATCCGCCGCCACGTTTGTGAAATATTTGTCTCGAAAGGTGATCTGTTATCTTTGTCAAATTAATGTTTCTCATATTATTCCGAGGCTGTCAGTAAGACATTTGAAAATCTAATTTTTTAAACAACTTTCCGATCCTATGGCGTGTAATAAAATATTCGCTCAAAAAATCTTCACATGTATAAAATACTGCTTAAAACGATTCCCATGAATTTTTTCAATGGCTGGCATTTATACATGTTATTTACGCGTAACAACTTAAGGATACACGTGTAAATGTATCACTACACAAGTCCACAAAATAAAAAAAAAAACACCACGAAGAGCAGGCCTAAACATCCGTGGGGCTAAAGGGGGAGACGCCACACGGACTATGAGGCTATATTTTCCCTACCCCTGCTAAATTCGTGCCTTTCTAGTCACGTTATAACTACGTAAACCGCGACCTGTGACCTTGCATTACTCGTGTTACCCACGTAGGCATTTGCAAAAACCACATTAATTTTCGCCTAATTTAATATCGAAAATCGCGATAAACTATAGAAGCATGACATGTTTTTTTTTACTGTTCCAATTTCTAGGGCTGCCAATGCTGCGTGCTTACTCCAGCATACATATCGATTTTATGTTCAGGACACGCGAACCAGATGGTTTAATCATGTTCAATGGTGGAAAAAAGGAAGATTTCGTCGCCGTTGAATTGGTGGATGGACATATCAACTACGTCGTCAATGTTGGTGAGTCCAATCTATTTTAAACTGCAGCTGCCAATAGAGCTTTTTTCAGAACTACTTTTACGTGCTACTAACCAAACTATTTTTTGACAAATCAACATATTTATAAATTCTGATAAAATGGAGAATGTTCTAATTTTTATCTAAAATTCAGTTTCTCGACCTAAATTTCAAAAACAAATTGAAGAAGGTGGCAATAAAGCTCCTACGTATAGATCAGCAACATAGTTCATTTACGAAGTCGATTTTTGGAAAAGGGAACTGGCTACACAATTGAAAAGAAACTTTAAATTGTCATTTTTTATCAATATAGTGAACGTACTATATCGAATAGGTTGTGAGGTAAAGAAGTGAGAAATTCTTATTTTCAGCGAAGGAATTGTTTCAGACAGGTAAATCCCTAATTTTTAATTTACTTCTAAAATATAAAATAATATATAAAAATTATCACCCTATTCTTAAAAAGGATATAAATAAATTTGTACAAATATAAATAAAATCGAGTATGCTTGTGTTACAACTTATTTTATGTTTTAAAAGCATTTCATATGTAGGTAAGAATCGTGGCTTCAACACATAGAGCAATCATTTATATTTACTTTTACTTGTAGCACGTATTAGTTGCGTAGGATTTGTTATAAATCGTGTGAATTAACTAACAATTTGGACCAAACAAATTCAAAGTAAAAGAGGAGCCACAGTCCAAAATAGTTACAAATATATGAGTCACGACCGTACCATCAGTGATGCCATGGTCGTGACCGTTTTTTATGGTAAAGACAAATTATCACAGTTTAAGCTCGGCAAAACTAACAAATAAGGTATTTTATATATTTTTCAAAGAATAGATGAAACCGAAATCATAATAACAATTCGCTCTAGTATTTTTTGATCACTGAAAATAAAAATGATCTAAATGCACTCATTGTATGTACGTATATATACTCGTATTTGAGAAAACGCGTGTCATTGGCATAAATCCGCATGATTCATAATCAACCCAAGTTGTTTGGAGATACTTTCGATAGCTGCATATTGAGGTATTTTCTAAAAAAATGTAAGATACTTTTTTCATGCGGATATCATCTTGTGGTATATCACTGAAAAAGAAAAATTAAGCCATGTCTGACTACTGATAACAATATACCGGACGCTATTTAAAATTTTTTATCCGGGCTCTATTTTGGTTGAGCTGCATGTTTTGTACTCTGTAAAGTAAATATTTACATCTTATTTGTGTATTACAAATGCGTTATCAGTTATAATATACACCGCGCATTCACCATGCTTATATATTACAAGTGTGATACCAGTTATAATATACACCCAACATTCACCATTTTTAACAGACTGCTTAAGTATATTTATCGTCCCTTGACATTGTCTGGTTTCTGGGCAACCAAGACTGACATACTCGGCTAACGTACATTAGACAGTGACTAATGGGCAAAGGTCCTACGGACCGCCCAGACAAACAAATGACAAATAGTATAGTATATTTAATCAGCAAGGTAGCGCATTCACTATAAAACGATGTGTTTCGGTTCTGTGGCGAGATGCACACGACTACGACATCGTGGCCTGTATCAAAAACAGGGTATCGAGAAGGGACGCTATTAGGATATTATATCAAAGCTGACAATCCTTCAGTCGATAATATAGCATCCTTAAGATCCCCTTGAATGAAAGAAAAATAGAAGTGATTGATTATCTCGTGAACTGTGACTAGAGGTGGCTGATATCGTTATTTCTAAATATATGTGATATATAATAACGTTACTTTTTTACATCAGTCATTTAGAACAGTGACGTGGTCACGACTTTCGAATAATGATGAGATTACGGGTATAGGGGATATCCTGAGCAAATTACCGCGTTAAATCGCATGCAGCACACTACCAAAGTCGAAAAGGCACGATATTGCTTGCAGGCTATAGTAGTCTTATGGTGGTATACAGTTTTCGACTATAGAAGCTAGCATGCATGCACATTCAAACGTTAACGCCATAATCCTATGATGACGCGAAGCACCTAGTCGTGATTTCGTCACGCTTTTTCACGGCCTTTGGTAACGTCGTGACTCGTGATTTAGAAATATCTGTGTCTAAATTATAGTTCGTGAAGTATCTGCCACTAACTGTGACCGTTACTTGAGAATGCGCATTTATCCGGTTCAAATATAAAAAATCCAGGCATGTCAGAAAATATATAACTGTAGATTACAGGTCACTCGAACGAGATCGTTGATTTTGTCATTGCAGTACAAAATTCTAATTAATTATTTAATGGTCACAGTTCTCGAGATAATCGAAGACCTATACTGCCGTACTTGGGTAAAAGACAGTAAAGCTCATTTACTGCCTTTTTTAAATTTTGATGCCATCACACTTCTTTTATGATTGCAATTACAAAATATATCATTGATCGCGCTATTTAACAAAACTTGTTATTTTTTCACTTTCTCAAATACCTCATACTAATTACGTTTCCTAAGCATAAAGGCAGTAAATCAATTTATCAAAGCAAAAAAGTATGTAACCTTATAAATAATTACTCTTGTTCCAGAAAACTAATTTTGAAAAATATTCATCGTTTAACTTAACCTATAAGGTAACATGCTGTTTTTAGTTTATTTATATAGTTATCTTGTAATGTAATTAATTAAGTCTAATTATATAATTATTAAATTGAATTATTAGACCTTCAAAAGGTTTACTTTTGTACTATTTCTGTGATCTGTTGTATACAATACCATTTATTTAGTTCCAAAAAATCCCGAATGTTGAACTCAATTTTCTCACTTTTTACACTTTACTGTTGCTTACTGCCACTTACTAAGTATTATTATAGTTCTTGTAGATATTACATTCCTGGTGATTTTTTCTAATGATACGGGAGTAATTTTTAAGTCACTATATTAGAACTATTTTTGAGCAAAAAGATCTTGTCGCACAAACTATATACAGTATTTTCTAGTTTATCTATGTTTATCATACGAACATCAGAAAATGTTGGAAAGGAGGTTATTAGAAAAAACAGATAGAAAATAACAAACTGAAAAAATGACATCATGCCGCCGAATGTGTAACGATAAGCTAGGGTCCTTATCAAAATGAGACACGCAACGCGTTACAAACTAAAACATCATTTGTTGATTCTTTGCCGCCACATTAAAGAAATGTTATTGCAGTGCCAAAACCTAAAATGCTCTAGGTTATATTAATGCTTTGTTTCTCTCTTAGGCGATGGAACTGTAACCCTTCGTGACACCGTCCGCACGCCACTGAACGACAACCGATGGCACGTGGTAGGCATTCGAAGACCTTCAACCAAACAGCACACACTCATGGTAGACGAGGACGTTGTCGTTGCAGCAAATCCGGGCACCGGAAACCTTGATCTGGACGGCATCCTGTATCTGGGAGGTGTTTACAAGGATCTGTACGCACTGCTACCGAAGGAGGATGTGAAGGCGAAGCATGGATTCGAAGGTAGGGTCTCGAGAATAGTGGGTAATGAGAGATTGGAAAAGGGCCGGAATGCCCAGAATGGCGTTCCGGTTCATCTGAAAAAAATGGCGACTCCCGTACGGTTCATTTCATGATGATTTAGTAAAAGCTGCCTGACTTTGATTCCAAAATAACCTTATTTGAACACTAGACCATATCATACTAGGTATATTACAAGATACAAGTAGTGATTTAAAAATTATGGCATTATTATTATATATATATATATATAGAGAGAGAGAGAGAAAATGATCATGCGGAGAAAGGTATATAACAAAAAGTAGAAAAATAATGGGTAAAATCCGCAAAAAAGAGGAAAGTGGATTCGAGCAGAAAATAGGATAGGTAACCCGAGCGATACGTATTTCTGCTGGTTGGCTTCATCAGGCCCGAAATGAATGCACATATGAAACTACAAAAGTAGATACACATATCCACACATCCGGATACGGGTGTAACCTGAGGAAACGAAGATGGAGAGGGAAAAAAACGACACACGAAGTCCACAACAAGAGCCAACCTACACATTGTAGTATAAAATGGCTAGAAGACCTCGAATTTTCAAGGAGACATCTAACCACAACCACGCGGCCGGTTATAGCCACTTGCTGTGGTACTTCACGCCCAAAGGATCTACAAAGAGAAAATGATCATGCGGAGAAAGGTATATAACAAAAAGTAGAAAAATAATGGGCAAAATCCGCAAAAAAGAGAATATATATATATATATATATATATATAACTTGAGACGTGGTCATTGTCGTCTAGACCAGTTAGGTGAAAAATTAAAGCTTCCACCTTTTGTTGGGTACTTCGACAAGAATTAAGCAAAGAGGACTCTTTATACTTTTTTTTAATTCTCTCTAGCTTTCAATGGACTTTGCCATCATCATCAGGAGCTGCAATTACAATGATAACAGTAGCAACAAAGGTGTAAAATGAATTTGAATTGACTCAACTTACAGTAGTATGTGAGGATGTTGCTAATTGTTGTTTACGTATAGGATGAGGGAAACGTCCAGTAACATGGTGAGAGCTGAATAGATTGCACAATAGTCAAAATTTATACAAAACATGACAAGAACAAGTTAAAAACAGATTAAAAATTATTTAAAAAATTAGAGCGTTACATCGTGAAACCACCTGATGATTGCACAAATTAGTGGTCATGGAATGATGAATTGATGAGTGACATGAAACCCTTTGACAGAAGGCCGAAGGATGTCAATGTCAGTATTGAAAGATGGAACGAATTGTGGGCGTGTGCCAAAACGTTGCCAAATCACTTCAGATGATAAACATAAAATTCTGAAAATCTCATCATCTGAAGTGATTTGGCAACGTTTTGGCACACGCCCACAATTCGTTCCATCTTTCAATACTGACATTGACATCCTTCGGCCTTCTGTCAAAGGGTTTCATGTCACTCATCAATTCATCATTCCATGACCACTAATTTGTGCAATCATCAGGTGGTTTCACGATGTAACGCTCTAATTTTTTAAATAATTTTTAATCTGTTTTTAACTTGTTCTTGTCATGTTTTGTATAAATTTTGACTATTGTGCAATCTATTCAGCTCTCACCATGTTACTGGACGTTTCCCTCATCCTATACGTAAACAACAATTAGCAACATCCTCACATACTACTGTAAGTTGAGTCAATTCAAATTCATTTTACACCTTTGTTGCTACTGTTATCATTGTAATTGCAGCTCCTGATGATGATGGCAAAGTCCATTGAAAGCTAGAGAGAATTAAAAAAAGTATAAAGAGTCCTCTTTGCTTAATTCTTGTCGAAGTACCCAACAAAAGGCGGAAGCTTTATATATATATATATATATATATATTATAATACATCCAAAAAAAACATAAAAATGTCCATTAAACATAGATCTGAAAAAGGTTCAGTAACTAAATACATAGTGTTGTAAATGTCCACGCCACTGATGAGATGCAAATATTTGAATAACGCTGCGGTTAGATGAAATTGCTATGCTACACGCACTAACTTCAGAGCTGCGTTCGTAAATTGTTACAAAGTGTACTTTGTACTGCTCCATATATCATATGTTCAGAAATAGAACAAAGTAATTCTTCTGGAATGTAAAAAGTGCACTTGTCTGCCTGTGCTCAAAACCTTGGGAATAAGAGTGTCGTCACTTGTGATTCTCATGGATCATTGTTTGTTTACTTCATTTGATTATTAAAATGTTCAAAATTCGTAGTATATATATTTTTCACGATAAATGGGCTACCTCGTATCCAAATCATTTCTTATAATGAAAAAGTGGTCAAAGAAAATGTGCTCATTGCAGGGTGGAGCAAAATGGTTTGAATTATTTTTAACGCACCGTTTTTCGAAATATACTTTTATGTTTCTATAATAAAAACTCAATTTGCTGCGAAGGTAGTTGAAAAACAGCGAAAAAAGGACGTGCGATCTTTTTTTATTTACACCAAAGCAGCCGCGCAGGCAGAAGGCTAAATGCCAGGGCACAGCGGCTGCTATGGGGATCCCAAAGAAAGTTTGTTATTTTGTTTGTTTGTTTAAGATTTATTTAGGATGATTGCTACAATTATATTCTTTTAAACAACTACAACAATTACATAAATATTCAGAGAAAAAAACAAAATTTGCATCTTTAAGAATTTTCATTGTCCATGAAATATTCCTTTCATTTTCTTTTAAATATCTTCAAATTACAAGTAGACTTTATATCATTATTTAGTTTATTAAATTCAAGTAATCCTTTCTTATATATTGATTTGCTAGTAATATTACTATTGCAATTTTGAAAACAAAAATCTATATTTACTCTTGTATAATAATTGTGGTAATGATTATTCAATTCTACATAGTGTTCTAAATGTTCTGGCAAAAGATGCTTTTTTATTTTAAATATAAAAATAAGAACCAAATATGATATGAAATTTTTTTTGTTCAACCACTGCAATTCTTGTAACATAGATTTTATTTTGGTGTACTTATGTTTATTCAATATAATTCTCATAGCTTTATTTTGCAAGACTTGTAATTATGAGAATACTGCTTCATTGGTAGTGAACAAGATAGTTGAACAATATAGTAAATTCGGTAGAATAATTGTATTTTAAATTATTTTCTTGGAATAGGTACCAAGACTATGAGAAGCCCTATAAAAGTAATTTGTTTTTTTGTCAATTTTTGAAATAATGTATTCATAGTGATCCTCAAACTTTAGCTTACTATCAATATATATACCTAAATATTTAATTGATTCAACATTTTCAATTATTTCTCCATTTATCCTAACAGTGATAGTATTTTCATTTAGGTATTTCCCTATTAGCATGCATTTTGTTTTAGAAGTATTCAATTTTAGTTTATTTACATTTAACCAATTGATATGGAGTAGCATGCGCTTGGGGGTTTAACCTGCGCCCGCGCCGTTATAGCTTCGAACATCAAATCTAATTGAGCTCGAGTGCAAAAAATGGAAGGGATATATACAGGGTGGCCAACATATAACTGACTGATTTAATTTTCGCGCCATTTTTGATACACGCATTTCAGTGTGTCCGATTCATCATGGAGCGGTACACTATCCCACAACGCGTCCGTATTGTTAAAACGTTTTACTTAAATAATATGAGTCGATTGTTGCAACGATTCGGAAGCTACGACAAGATTTCGGTCGTAATAATGTGCCCAGTGTCAACATCATTCGTCAGTTGGTGCGGAAATTTGAAGATAAAGACTTGCGAAGGTCGGGCCGTATTCAAACTGTTCGTACTCGGGAAAATATCAAGAGCGTTCGTGAAAGTGTAGTGGCGCCCTGAGATGTCTGCCAGACACCGTTCTCAAGAACTAGGTATTCGTCGCACGTCATTATGCACTATTTTAAAAAAGACTTGCATCTGCGGCCATACAAAATTCAGTTAACCCAAGAACTTCACCCTAGCGACTATGAAAGTCGCCGACAATAGAGTCATGCAATATTGCAGCTTAATACCCAAAATAACGATTTTTTCTGACAACTGATAATAACGATGAGGCCCACTTCTATATGAATGGATTTGTTAATAAGCAAAATTGTCGTATCTGGGCAATAGAGAACCCTCATGTCATCCATCAACGACCATTACATCCTCGTCGAGTCACAGTTTGGTGCGGTGTTTGGTATGAAGGTGTCATTGGATCTTACTTCTTTGAAGACGCTACAGGTGATTCTCTTACTGTCACTGGCGAACGCTACCGTGATTTGGTGCAAAACTTTTTGGCACCTCAAATCCAATAATTTAACCTGCAAAACATGTGGTTCCAGCAGGACGGAGCAACTTGTCACACAGCTAGGAAAACAATGAATCTTTTGCGAATAATATTTCCGGGACGTTCAATTTCTCGATTTGGTGATGTCCAAAGGGTCACCGGATTTAACGGCTCCTGACTTTTTTTATGGGGATTTTTGCAAAATAGGGTTTGCCAAAAAGTGATGGAAAATATAATTAAGAGGGTTCAGTTTTGCGCAGCTTCTAGAGGCGGACATTTGTCTGATATTATTTTTCATACATAATTTCTAAGTTTCAATAAAATACGAGTATTAAGATGAAAAAAAATTACCTATTTTATTCCATTTCACAAATATGCAAGATACAAACCAGTCAGTTACATATCGGCTACCCTGCATAAGAAAGTTCCAGAATATTCGCGATCTAGCAACAACATGAAGCCACCACAGAACAAGCACTATAAAGTTCATAGGCCCCGGCAAGAAACACAGAAGTACATTGGCATATTAGCTTACAATATGAAAACCCAACAAAATAAATACCTTATGTCAACATTGATACTTAAGTGGAGCGCACACCAAATGGATCTCATTTGGTTATCTCGTGAACAGTGAATTTTGTCATTGCAGTCCAAAATTCCGTTTAACCACGTAACGGCCACAGTTTGCGAGATAATCAAATACTATTCTAATCATATTAGCAAATTTTCCCGAAATATTTGTAAAGTCTGATTTTATTGGTGCAAGTTGTTCAATTTTTGTGGGAAATCTTTTTATTTGACAACAAAGAATGAGAAAACGTGTTTTTTGGGATTCAATCGATCGTGTTGATTCAATCGATAGTGTTGACAGGAACGAAAAAAATTTCATATCAGATTTTTTGGTATCTATGACTCCTACAAAATGAGACCCCACGCAAAAAGATCCGACTAATAGCAAAAATGTTATGGCCGAAAAACAAGGCAAAATGCAGGTTTTGGCACTTGTTGGTAATGCGACGATAATTTCAAGCGACAACTTGAAATTCTTCAAATCCGTAGGATTCATACTTCTAAATAACAATAACAAAATTGGAGTATATTGTATCAAGTTGTTTTTTGAGAATTTCAAATTGTTTATCCCAAAACACCTGCTTACCGGCCATCACTACTAGTTTATTGACAATATGCAGGGTTAGTTCAAAGGGCATTTAATAGCAAAATACACGTGCTTATCTCGCCGATATTTATCGCAAACCATTCCGAAAGATAAATGTTATTTTTATGCGAAAAACAAAGGTTACGTTTTTTTCTTCTAAACAAATTCAAACATTTCGAATTTGTGAGTAATTGAGCAAATGCGCTACGATATTCGAAAAACATACGTTACTATACACATTTTAAAACAAATCGGAAGGGTCCATCATCTTTTGTTGAGTATTACTCACAAATACGAAATATTTGAATTTATTTAGAAGAAAAAACATAACCCATCCTTTTTGCATAAAAATAACATTTATCTTTTGGAATGGCTTGTGGCTCATATCGGCAAGGTAAACTAGTGTATTTTGCTATAAAATGTCTTTTGAACTAATCCTGTATATTGCTCAATAAACTAGTAGTGATGACCGGAAGACAGGTGTTTTGGGATAGACAATTAAAAATTCTCAAAAACTACTGGGCCAATCTACTCCAATTTTGTTGTGGTTATTTAGAAGTACGAGTCCTACGAATTTGAAGAATTTCAAATATCCGCGATTAACTTTCGATGCATTACCACCTACTTTTTGTTATTATTTCGATCTTTTCACGTGTGGTCTCGTTTTGTAGGTCTCACAAATACGTAAAAATCTTGTTTGAAGAGTGTTTCCGTTCCTGCCAACACTTTCGATTGAATCTCAAAAAACACGTTTTCTTATCCTTTGCTGTCGCATAAAAAGTTTGCAGCAGTAAAACCAGACTTTACAATTATTTCGCAAACCAGGGGTATTTTCGTCTAATATGGTTAGACTATACGAGTTCGTTGACTGCTGTTATATGACGTGTTAGATACGATGATGGCTATTAAATACTGTTTTAAGAAAAAAACTTAAGATACGAGTATATTTTGATTTTTACTTCTATTCCAGGTTGCATCGCGGGTCTAGATTTGAATGGAGAATCACCAAATATCATGGAAGATGCAGTGGTACATAGTTCATTAGTTACAGCAGGGTGCGAAGGTAAGACTACTTCCTTAGCAACTTTTGGGAGTAAATACTGTAAGAAATACTGGCAAATCTGTTTTCAAAAGCGTTCTTTTGGTCAACCATTCAATCCCATTATTATATGTACATTACAATATACTTCTATCAAACGGGTTAAATCTCTTATATATGAGTAATCAATGTGAAATAATTCTAGGTACGTGACTTACGCGAGATTTTTCACTCTCGTCCCAACTAGTATGTTGTGCTCATTAGGAAAGTTACAATGATGCAACACTTCGACCTGCTCAACATTACATGAAATAAATTTGGCTCAAGCTCAGGGGCCTCGTGCAATGTCCATCTCTATGTAATAGTCCAGTAAATTTAGTTTAAATTATGTATTGTTACAAACCGAAAAATACGCGAATGATTCAAGTTATTGGATACCGATAATGAATAGACTTGAAATGTCATGTATTCAGCGTTAGGATACGGTGCAGGATCCCTATGAGAGTATCTCATCCTTCCATCACTCCAGCCACTTAACATAATACAAACAAAGAAGATGCCTTCGACACATCCAATTAAACTGAGCTTTATCGTTCATATTTATTAACTCATGATAGGCGAAAGCGTCGATAACAATATTCTATCCAAGCCTCCAATATACAAATTCATTACTAAGCTTATTTTCCGTTTTCAAAGGTATGTGCCAAATTTCAACAAAATTGGTTCAATAGTGCCTGAGATATGTGATATTAAAGATTTGGCGTGGTTGGACAAATCACCCTGTTTATCCGTAAAAACTGAATTTAGAGCTTTTTTATTTACAGGTATGAAATGGAATCGATCCATACCCTACCATTTAAGTGGGGATATCGAGTATGTGTTTTTGATAGCTAAAACTAAGAATTATTGTTTATTTTTTAAGACAGATACGAAAACAGTATTTTCAGAAAGGTTGAAGTGTTCGTCTTGCCGCCTTGCCCGGGTCTGCCCTATATTCAATTGTTTGCTATTTCTCTGCTTTTTTATTGTAGAGTTTTAGAATGAAAAACGGTCAACCAAAAACACCTCATTGGCAGAACAACACTTTTTTTGTCCCAATATTTCATTAAATATCCAAATATCTGCACTTTCCCATAAATTGCCGTTATACGCGTTTGAACCAGTGAGAACAAAATCAACAAGAGAGCATAATCCATGAAGCACTCAAAACTTTGGGATACGCGCATCAATATTGTTTATGAGAGCTTTGTGGAGCATCCGCCGTTTTTATTAATGAACTGCACACGCTATTTGGGCGAAAAAAGCTATTTTTTGTGGTTCATCCCGCTGATCGAAGTTATGGGTAAAAACTGTTAGACTTGCATAAAATCTACGTTAAAATAATCCAGGGGATATATTTGTCAGTTCAATTATATGGTTGGATTTTCAATGCATTGGTATACACATGTTCGTATTGATCGATGTTCGCGTTTCCCGCGATCCTCGGCATTAAAGCCAGGGAGCAATAGAATATTGACAAAGACATGCGCAGAAGCATAAAGTATGTATTCTAGAAAAGTAGGGTATCTTCAAAGTATATTGCGACTTCATACATGACATAGCTACAATTATCAAAAAATAAGTTTACATTACCTTAGCTGTCAGACAGTATAAGTTTCATTATTATAATAGACAACAATACACCTGGAATGGCAGAGTTGATCTAATCGATACAAATTTGTTAAGCACTGGTAGAAACAAAATAAGAATAAATTGGGTGATGTCGAGTTTATCTGTTATAGTACGTGGAATCTATAATTGCGCGTATTGTGCAACTGCACTGAAATTCTAGAGCAACTAATCGTCATAAAGCTTTCGTATTAATTATGGTTCTTGAAAGTTTTTTCCTCACTAAGGAAAAAAATTCAAGTAAACCATTTAAAATGTTGGTTCACCCATTTTAAAAAATTAATAAACCATCTGACAGCTAACAGGTTTAGATGGTTTAATTAAACTTCGATTTCTGAAACAGTTTACTTGAATCTATGAAACTGAAATTTAATAATCCCCTTACTTAGATTGCGTACTCCAATATACTTAAAATTAATAAAATGAGTTTGCCTGCTCCAAGTAACACAATCTAATTATATTTACTAAATTTGTTTAATTAGTTTAGATAAAGGTATTTGCCTAGTTTTATTTTATTTAGATCTAAAAGTATATTTATATACTAATAATACTCAGAAATCAAAAAAATTTGAAAACTCGATATTGATTTGATGATTTCGAATCAAACTAAAAACCTCCTAATTTCGTAAATCCAACAAAATTCGTTAATTTTTTATTTACACTGATTGTGAACTTATTATATATGACTTCAAGTTTTAGTGATCATTTTTGTGATTGTCCAGAAACAGATTATTTTACATCACCATTGATTAGGAGCAATTCTTTGTTTTAAATTCAGAAAGTGGTGAAATTGATGTCTGAAACTGAATGATTCCACTTGATCATGCGTACCAAAATTTTACTTTTATATCTATAATCAAATAATATTGCTCTAACCCGCATTTAACGCATTTACATTTATAAATGCTTTAAACAAACTAGGATAATTTCAAATACTACAAAGTAAGCACTAACAGGAGGCCCCACTTCCTATATACAATATAAAAGAAGAGCACATTAATCCTATGTTATACACATATTTGGTATACTATACATGTCCTCCAGTGTGCGAAAGATGACTGCATAAATTAAATTTCTAAGTTCTTCCCATTCACATCAGCAATTACTCCCCTATACAAAGTCTTTCATTGGGAGCAAGAAATATTCTAACGATCATTTTGGGTCACCAGCATCTTATGCTCGAGTATTTTAGTTGATCACCATAATTGACCAACCTCATAGCTACTACACCAACACAATCGAGAGTGAAGAGTTTGAAGCGCATCACCGGCTTTGCGTCTATCGCATACTACCGATCATTGACGAATAAATGGCCGAGTCGGCGATTCAAATAAATAGTTCGATTTGTTTTATTGAAATATATAGTAGTTTCAAATGTAGTACCTTTTCTACATAAACTAAATTACCTAAACTGAATAAACAGCTTAACAAAACAGGTACATGGTTTACTATTTTCAAGCTAATTAATTTAAAGTCATATTAATTTACATTAAACTGGTTTCATAAAATTTCGTTTAATTAAACAGAATAATTTAGTTACTTAGAATAGGTGAAAAATTCATGAAACTTTTCCGAAAAGCTGTTTAATTGACCACGTAGCCTCAGTGCTGTGATGTTTACACTTTGCTCACCACTTGCATGACTTACAGGACTAAGTAAACAAAGTATTGCACACTACGATTGTCTATACTAATTAAGAATTTGGTCAAATGTTGATTTCCAGCCTGGGTACAGCACGCGTGACCATGGATCAGTCTGTAATGTGAATTTAGATGGAGGAGCTCGTTTTTCTGCGTTTGTATTTGAAACAGACTTGATCTATTTTATTAAATTTATACATAAAACAAATTAGTTAAATCAGTGTGGATTTAACAGCCTCCCCCTTCTACGCCGCTTTTAGATGCACTATTGCAGCTATGCAGCCACCAACCCGCCAAAACCCGTCCGCTCTTTTCAATCGCCAAGCATTTCATTTTCCTTTCTTTGATATACTCGTAATTTGCTACACATTGAAACTTTTAGAACTCATTAAAGATAAAATTGTAATGTACTCACATTACCTAAATATCAGGTCACTTCTAGAAACAAATTATCTTCATTTATTCTTCTTTTTATTTTACTGGAATCCAATGTAAAGTTTTGCAATATAGTTTTTACATGATAGAACGATTTTTTTTTTGCTTTTGTATTCCATCCCAGGCTAGAAACCGTATAACGTTATTCTATTGCCCTGATTTGCCCGAAATGTTCAAGAATTCGGCACTTCGATAATCCACCATACTCATCAAAAGCCCTATATTATATCGTCATGTCTTTTAACGATTTTGATTTTTTCATCTCAATACATGTATTGGCATCATCAAGTGACAAGCCTTCTCAACATCAGACCATGTACGTCGGTAACTCCGCGATTTTCAAAATCTGTCATTTTTGATGGATCCTGACCAATCATCGAATTCTAAAACTATGACTAATTTCTAATTTAGTGTTCACCATATTTTTTCAGGTCCATCTGCCAAATGTAGTCTAAATGTCTGCGCAAATGGAGGCATATGTGTTCAGCAATGGAATTCCTACACCTGTGACTGTGATATGACATCATTCACAGGACCAACATGTTCAGACGGTATGCAATTTAAAACCTACTCCAGAACCTACCCTCGTATAAATAATATCTCTTAATGCACGTTTTTGTTTCAAAACGTTTCGTAAGCTTCTTGTTTTTCTGGTTTGCTTCAATCGAAAACAATATTCACAAATACTCGCAAAAGCAAAATAGAATGAATTTGTGGATTCCGTAATTAACCTTGAATCCAGTCGAAGGTCATCTTGACTCTTGACCAATGTCATTCAAGGCAAAATAACTAAAAATAGTTGTCATTTTCGCATATCAACGCTGTTTTTGATAAATTAGTTATCAACATTTGTGAAACTAGTCCAATTAGATATGATTAAGTCGAATAATGTGCAAAAGATTTTTCATCATGATATCAAGAAGTTTGACCTTGATTAGGAGCTGAGGTCAGCTACAGAATGAATAATTCCATTCTACACAACGGGCAAAGCTGAATAATAAATAACAATCATTATTTATTTCAATACCTAAAATCGTCATTTGAATCTGCTTACAGAATCAGTATCATATGAGTTTGGTCCAAATCGTGGCATCATCCTATATACATATCCAGAGGAAACAAGACAAGAAATGCAAGAAGACGTTATAGCCTTAGGATTTATCACCACAAAATCGGATGCAGTTTTGCTAAGGATAGTTAGTGGAACTTCTAACGACTATATAGAAATGTATATCGTAAGTATATTTGACTACTACCTTTCCTCGTTACATGGATATTCTATTTTGAATTTAGGGGTTTGCTGTAACACCACAGCAGGTAATTGTGTCATCTTATCAGGCATATAAACGAGCAATATTTTTGGAGCCATATACAAATATAGCACAGCCATCAGGACCGTATTGCAGCATATGGGCCGATTTTATCAGCTATATCTCAGCTATATCTTGGCAATATTGTTTGCAATGTATAGAGAGCTACACTTGTAAGAATTTCTCACCAAAGGGGCTTCAAAATTGGCACGAATGACTAACAAAAGTGTACGTGTCGTGAATATATGAAAAATTTATACTAAAAATATTGCAGAGTATGTTGCTGGCTACTCTATTGTAGCTAGAGAATACAATAAAATATTGTCTGTTTGTAAGCGCTATAAAGATGGGATTCCACTGCGGCAACATAGGGCATGCTACTTGCTTTCTAGTGTTGCCTCTTGTTGACGTTCGACAGTAGTGCCCAAAATTTTGTTTATGCCGCATGCAGATTTTGTTCTCCTATGTGGCATTCGCTTTGTCGTCACGAAACGCTTCAACTTCAGTTTGGTACGTCATGCCATTACAAACAGTCGCGGCTTCTGCGTATTTAGTAATTACTTTGGATCGGAAAAGAGAATGAAAAACGCCAGAATATTGGAGAAGGGCGATGATCCACCCTTTTTTTCAAGTACTTTTCTTCGTTCCCGATGGAACACCGAACGCAAATTCTCATTTATTTTTTTTAATTTCCAATACCGAACAGTTGTATTTTCCTATTTATAGAAATTTACCGTTAAGAAATAAGCCAACTATTTTCGCCTCATCATCGTACAAGGCCTGTCGTATTTATATTTACCTGACAATTCCCGTAATTTATCCTGCTTTAGTCGCGCATCTTTATATCTTCCCGATTTGTTGTTCCATAATTCACCCTAATTATGGTAATATTCAATTAAACATAATGTTTTCTCATTGGTCCACTCCATTTTGTCGCCTGCTCCAAGCCGCACCGATCCGAACGGGTTTGGCTAGCCGGCGACACTGATCAACACATGGATTCATGTCGCTGACGGCGTCCTCGATAGGCAACAACGGGCAAATTGTGGCATGCGACAAGGAGATATATTTTTTGTCGTTTTGTGTTGCCTCTATGGAAAGACAGTGTGCAGCATGCGTCAACCCCGTGTTGTCCAAAATTTGCCTTAGTGGAATTGCGCCTTAAGAAGGTATGGAAGCAAACTGAACTCTCAGCATTTTTTAATATTGTGTGAAAATGTGTTTGGGCTTATATACCTTTCAAAACAGAAAAGTTATATACATCTTATATTTGATAGTTAGTTATTTCAAATTGGACATACCTTCATTTTTGATTTTCCATAAGCTCGATGTATTTTTGATGCAGGAACAAAATGGAGTGTAAAACTACGTTCAGATATTTTTTTCAACAGTTGTTCAACATCCTTGAAGATCAAATACAAAACATGCTGGCGATATTACTGGAAATTTTTCTCATCATTATGTGCTTTTCGAAGGAAATTACCTCTTGATGCTTTCCCCAGCGGTTTCCCTGTATGACCCGAAGATCCATTCAAACAAGTAGCTATTTACTGCCACCTAGTGTGTTTCAAGATACTACATAAATTAAAACATTCGTATTATGTGATTGATGAATTTCAGAATCCAAGATTTCAAGGGCGAATAGTTTAAAGATCTGTTACATTATGTTACATTCTAGCTTTTATTTTTTACATCACCTACAACAAAGTTTGCTACTCATTAAGCTCTGAATGTGCCTTCCGTCGCTCAGATTTTAATTTTTTTAACTGCAGATCTGGAAAAATAACATTGAAAATAGACAAAAATTCTTTTCAGGTGATGTATCACCCACTCCTTCAAAAATTTCGTTGTTGTAACCCTCACAGTGAGTGTCTTAAATATAGGGAACACATTTTCACGTATTGAATTGTGATTTTGAAACTAAAACTGACCAGCTCCAGGGCTTCTCATAAACGTGCACAATGATCCAGATAACTGCGCTCCATTTAGCTGCTGTCTGTACACAGACCTTGAAGATCACAACGCTAAGAAATTTAAGCGAGCAAAAATGGTTCTTTGTTCAGTTCGAGCTTTCGGTTCTTCATAGGGACAGTACAAAAAAGGACATGTTTTATCGCCAGCATGTTTTGTATTTGATATTCAGAGATGTTGAACAACTGTTAGAGAACGTGGGGACGCAGCAACCTTGTATAGTTTAATGGTTCCAAAAAACAGTACTGTACCTTGACTAACAAGAAGCGTCTTAACGCTCACCCAGTTTTGATGGACCCTTAGGTAGGTCAAAAATCGGATTAACAAAGTTTCTTTAAACACCTCATAGCAGCCGCGGTGCTCTTGCATTTAGTCTTCTGCAGCGCGACTGCTATGCTGTAAGTTTTTTTTTGGAAAGAACTTGATCAAAAAGCAAATTTCCTTTCTGGCTTGAATTTCTTTACTTTGTGACTACAAGCTCAAGATCCTTGTACTTGCATCTTAACTACTCAGACAAGTCTGCTTCCTCTTCCTCCGTGTATATTTTCTGTATGCACTTCAAGCTGTGTTCAAATAGCATCATTGCAAGTCCATAGAATAACAAGGGGGTTTTTCTAGGGATTTACCCTGCAGCTTTACGAGCTCCTGAAACAGTTGGGAGAGAGATGAGGTTTTTTGGGATTCGTAAAACGGCAAGTTTATAGCGATAAAGCAGCGGGGTACTGATTCTGTTTACTGCTGTATTTTAATGAGATGATTTTGCCCTACAGCGTGGGTGTGTTGTTTAATTTGGCGAACGCTCCCCACATATATGAGCGTAATATTTTAACGTCCTAGAGTAAGTTTGCTAGAATAGCCAGTCGTGAATATTCAACAATTCCACTACATAATTACTCAGGTTATTAAGAGCTTTGGATATGGCAAAATTTCTTGAAATCTATAAGCATTGAAGGTCCAATTAACTATCAGTGATTTACCGAATATTTTTTTTTTCAGTCAATGTGAAATATATGTGCAATATGATTTTTTCTGCTATTGCTTCATAGAGTATTAAAAATTTTAGGAAGAAATATTTTACCTTATTTTTGACTGGGTTAAGTTAGCGAGTTGAAATTTGCGATGATGGAATTAATGCATGAAAACTATATTCTGGCATGAAAGCGACATATTCAAATATGACTGCTAGGTGCCATGTTACATCTGAAACTTTTCCTGTGGGTTTCATGCTAATAAGTCTCCATGCTTCTTAGAAGAATCCATTTTTTTTGTCGGTTTGGCTTTTTACTAACCTTTCGGCCACCTCGGTTGTCTTTCCAAAGTATATTCTTTTCTATGTTCATATGTCTCGCAGGTTCATTTGTAGGCCACATTTGGCCCTTTTTGCCGACCCCTAATGTACCAACACTCTAATACACATCTTAATGCACTAAACTGTCGAACCTTCCTCACCTCGTAATGAAGGTCATGGAGCCCGATCATTCCGCTGAATAATCAATGTCACTAACAGATTCCGTCACCCCTAATATCTCGGCTCTTAGGACGCAATACACGGGGCAATAGCCCAGAAAGTGGAACGCTGTTTCGTCCTCCTCTCAGCACTTGGGGCATGTTGAGTCTCTTTCCACCATTAAAAGGGATAAGTGGCTGTTCAGTCTCCAGTGGCCGGTTAGAACCCCCTCCAAAAGGCTGTTTAATTTTCTACCCCTGTCCAGAAGCCAGTGCGTCGTCGCCTGTCTGTAGCCGCCTGTTCCTATCGCCACGCTCTTTCCAGGTCCCTAACCACTCATTTATTCAGGGTCGTGTTGACTAGGCTCCAGCTTATGCCCAGCCTGGGCTCGGGACCGATCCAAGTGCTTCTGATTCCCAGCCTAGCCAGGCGATGAGCTTTCTCGTTTCCCGGCACTCCCGGCTGTATCCGGGGACCCATTAGTGCATTCCGGAACTAATGGTGACCGTGTCCTCGGGGATGCCACCGCCTTCAGAGCTGCTTGACTATCGGAGCATATGAATATGCCACTCGGTGCACTGCTGAATTTCCTTTGAGTATGCCACCGCTAAGATGGCAAATATCTCTGCCTGGAAGGTCATTGTGCAGGATCCAATCGCAAAGCTTTTCTGCATGCGAAGAAGTCTAGAACCACCTGGGATAGGCATTCCTGCTCCTAAAGACATCCAGCCTCTCCAAGGCAAGCGTGAAGTTATCTATTGTTTTGAATGTTATGTATCTGATACATATTACACAGTAGACAGTTTTAGCAATCGCAGATAAAATTGAGGGTCGTGTTTCTACGAAATATTTCTTTGAACTAAGGTCCATTTTTTAATTTTAAGAGCTATCTTTATGTTATAATTTTATAGACATTTTGTTAGTGTGCGTAAATCTTAACTTTGAGGTTTAAATTATAATAAGTCAATACACTGGTTGTGGATGAAGTCTGCGTATGCTGAATTTGTATTTTCCAAAACTCTGTACCAATTCTTCATCACAACGGAAATTGGAACATTCCATTAAAAAAATCTGTCAAAATTATTCATTTTTTAATGGAATATTCCATATTTTAATGCATATTCGAATAGACCCTTTCCAATGAGGTCTGATGTACTAACTCTCAACTTTAACGTTCTGCCAGGTTGCGGACCTTCAGAATGAGGCGCCACAGCGCTAGGTTATCTGCTAAAGAGCTATTTAAGTCTGAACAGTGGCTTTGGGAAAAACATCCTGCAAGTATTTGACAACTTTTGCTGGTACCGATTGCTTTAAAGCTGTATCACAGTTACACCATCATGTGAAAGTTGACATAATATTACTTATTTTCAGGTGGAAGGAAACGTCTTCGTAGTATACAACTTAGGCACTAATGATCTCTTGATTGGAGAAATTTCAGTCAAAGTCAATGACAACGCATATCACGTAGTTAGATTCCAAAGGCAAGGGCACAATGCAACACTCCAAGTAGATGATTACAACGTACAAACAAATCACCCATCAGGTAAGAAATTCTGTAACTAGGTAACTACCATATGTAAGGGAAACAAAGCACCTTTCGCACTAAAATCCCATTGTGTCTCAGTAATAACCCTGGTCAACTGTTGATGGATAAGATGATGACAGATGGTTTTCCTTCATTAATGAATCTCCATATTAACAGAATGGTTAATCTTTTTCAAGGTCACGTATTTCAATCTGTAAGGTATCGGTATTCTATGAGGAAAAGGTGTTCCAATGAAATTTTCTAAATATTTGTCATTTATCGATCGTTTAAGCCCGAACGAAAGCCTTTATGGATTCAAGGCTACGACGGTCTTGTATTAGGTTTCACGAGCTCTCCAAAGTCACGAAAAAACGTTGAAAGCATAAGTTTGTTTTACCATTTCGGGCCTTTTGGAATAGACATTACACAATGTCTTTCAGAGTTTTAGGTCTCTGCTCTTACAACTTTGGCCGTATTAATAGAAACGCAGGAAAATAAATGCTTGTTTTCCTTCACAAGGTTGAAATGGTACTTCATTTTTAGAAAAAAAATGGGAAAACAGTTAATTATATGCAACTTCTAAACAAAAGTGGAGTCCTGAAGTTGCTCTTTATCCTATTTTTAGGTCAACAATTGCAAGTCTTCAACAGCCAATCTGAGATACAAGTCGGAGGTAAATCCAACAAAAAAGGTAGAATAGAGAGACCTTTTACGGGCATTATTTCGGGTGTAGTAGTTAACGGCTTGAGGATACTCGACTTGGCTGCTGAAAAAGATGTTCACGCGTCCATTCGAGGAGATGTCCAGCTGGTGTCAGGAATATTGGACAGGCATGATCACCTGCAGAAAATGCAGCAGGTAAGCTTATACATTGTCTACCTAGTGTATGTCTTAGAGTCTGTCCGCAAAATATCGGCCCCTTTATAGATCTAAAACAAAAGAAGTACTAGTTGGAATCGTAATGTTTCAAACCAATATTGTAGATGTCTAGCCATTGGACACAGGCAATGGAAAGTAAACAAGCAAGAAAAAGAAAAGGAAAGGATTGTAGTGCGCGAAGAAGTGACACTACCACCTACAAGTAACTCGAAAAATGCGATACTACCGTCACCCATGTCTCCATACAGAGCACCTTAAATAAAAAAAAATACTCGTTTAATTTCATTACAACATTGACTTGTCCTCATTTTAAGACTTTCTTGCAACTCTACCGTTGTCTGATTGTGAGAGAGGCTATGCAAGGCTTCCTCTGTCTTAAAAAAGGTTCGCAAGGACACTCTACTGCTACTTGCAGTGTAACAAAATTAAATGGAACTACATATTCCAGAGCTAACCAAAATTAAATTTCACAGTACCAAGATTTATTATTATTGTAAAAATATTATATATTATTATTGTTAGAAGGGCCTCTATTGACATATGAATATTTCACTTGAGGCCTTCCTATTGTGAAAAACGCCTTAATTTTTTGAGGAACAACACAGCCTCCTAACTGCCTTGTAGCAATCAACTTCGGGGCTTTCTCATTTTACTACATTTCTCAAGGAACTCACGGACCTACACACTGCTTGTTATGCCTCCAGAGAGCATAATCTGTAACAGTGTCAAATTAATAGTCCATACTCTGAGTCTGCAAACTTTAATTCTTCAAGATTACTGGTATATATACTCAATGACATTAGAAGTGTTACACCCAGAAAAAACAAATTTCTTCAAGTTCAACCCTGCGACTGAATACACTCCTGTAGACGTCTAGGCATCGACAAAATGAGATGATCGATGTCTGGTTGTGGCACCTCATTCCAAGCAACTCGAACACAGCTGTGGCAGAGTCTTTGGCGTATGGTACAAAGTGGATACTCTCCTTCCCATCATATCCCACACGTATTCGATGGACTTAAACCCGTTGAACGGGCTGGCCACGGCAAAACATTAACGCCTGCTTCTTGAAGAAAGTCCGTAGTACAACGAGCAATATAAGGACGTGCGTTGTCTTGATGAAGAAAGCAGTGTGGACGGCCCTCTAGATACGGCAGTAAAGCGCTTTGGCAATAGCCAGCAAAACCATTACTCCAACAGTCCTGTGTACATGCCTCTCAACAGCGAATCCAATATCACGCCTTCTCCACGGCGGCATCTTACCCTTTTACGACCATCGTGCGTACCTAGACAGAATTGCGTTTCGTCGCTGAACATCTTCAGACATTATGCCATTCTGTCTTCCACTGTTGCCGTTCTCTGCTCCAGTTCAAACGTTGACGACAGGGGTCCGCAGTCAGAGGAAGCACTAACTGTGGACGGCATGAAAAAAGTCCAAAGGCTCGAATGCGGCGATTGAGTGTACGCATAGTAACAGGTCTACCTTCTTCTCCAAACCATTGGGTAACGATCTGACGCGTAGTAACAAAACGGTCCCGTAGGGCTAGTTGTCTCAAGCGCCTATTTTGAGGCTCTGTAGTACGCCTCGGTGGATCAGTTGGCCTTATTCGTGTTCCTCTACCATCTTCTATCCACGCATGAGACACACGCATTATCGTTATTGCAGTACAACGAACACGGCGGCCAATTTCGCGATAGGACAAACCAACATCTCGATAGGGAATCATTCTACCCCTGTCAAAGTCGCTAACATGGTGATAATTTGGACGTCTTCAAACTCGAGGAATTTTGTTATACTTAACACTAGTAAATGAAAGGGCAATTGCTAAAAATGTCTGTACTGCTCAGCTCTCATAAACCGCTTTCTTCACAAAAACTAGGAAATAACATTTTAACAAAGATAAACAAAAACAAAATTAAAATGTTGATATTTTTATGTTGGCAAAAAACAAGTTGAGGAAATTATTTTTTCTGTGTGTAAAAAATCTAATGTCACTGAGTATACAATATATGTAATTAGGGGGCCTTAGAAAATGACCTTCTTCATTAAAGAAGATACTCATCAACTCTATTATCACTCCCAAGTGGCAAGGTAAATAGAACGATAATAAGACCTTAAGAAACGATTATATTTTTCGGTCCTTCGATGTGCTATTCGCCGTGACCGAAGTGCATAGAGGAGAGAACTGAATCAATCGCCGCCCGCGTGTTGGAAAAAAGAGAAACATCACCGGACTGATAGTGGAATGTAGGAGTGGTTTCTTTCTCCAAATGAGACCTAACAATGGTACAAATATTTCGCTGACATCATTTGTCAGATAAATAGAGAATTAACAGTATGAAATTCAAATTATTCCTAACCCCAAATGTCTGTTATTTTTATTATTATCCACGAGCACAAATATTTTAATCCGACACCAGATAGGTGACTCTCTCTCTAGAGGGGTCCGTAGGACCTTTGCTCCTGGTTAAAGTAATGTAAGTCAGTAGGTCTATCAGGTCTGGTTGCCCAGATACCAGACACCGACAGGGAGAAAGAAGGGAAGAAGAAAGAAAAGAAGGAGGGATAAAAGAAAATGAAGAGTTAACTTGAGTGGTGTCTTGGCATTGCCTTTTCTGGAATTTCAAGTTGATCCTAAAATTAAAAAAAAAATTATGATTTTGATGGACCTAAAGTGGGACGATTTAATTTTGCTCACAGTTCGAACCGCGGCCTTGTGTGCTGGCATGTGGTCTACTGACTCGCGCAACATAGGGTTGCTATGCTCAAATAAGGGATGTTCGAGTCTCTGTGAAAGGTCTCATTGGAGACATACGACAGAGCGTTAGTGATTGTTCGCAACGTTCTGTTCTGCAGCACCTGCAGATTACCCAAATGCGTTTTGGCGAGAAACACACCAAGCCATACTTGCGTAAGTGATCGCTGGTCTAATAAACATCTTGTATAGCCGAGCTTTATTGGTCAAACTTGATTTTGAGGTTCTACATAGCATAGGGTAGAGTTGCAGAAACGTGACTTTAGTTTTTAACGCCTCAATACATTTCTGCCAGATCAGCCCCTGGTAAATAGTGACACCGAGATACTTAGCAGAACTTTCCCATAGTGCCCGTTCACTGAAACTCAGACGGGGTACCGCTACGTTTCTTAGTACAATATAGATAGCCTGCGTTTTCGAATGATTAACTTTGATCAGCCACCGATCCGCCCAGTCCAATATCTCGTCCACCACGTGAACCAGATTCTCATAATACGAATGGCCCGCCTCAGTTGTGTCATCAGCATAGCGATAGACTTCACAATTTGCAAGGACGTCATGAATAAAAAGTGAATAAAAGATTGGTCCAAGAACCGAACTCTGAGGGACACCGGCTTTGATGGGCCCTGTTGTCGGCAGAGCGTTATTCATTTTGAGCCTTAAGGAAGGATTTCAAAAGTTTTTTCTTTAAGGGTAATGCCCCTGATTACTCGCTCAACAAGCCCGCCAGTAGCTCCGTACTATGCTCAGACCGAAAGCCAGTCAGGAATCACATTGTGGTGTGAGGAGAAATTTTCAAGGTGGCGTGGAATTACCTTTTCAAAGAGCTTAGAAGTAACTGACAGTAGTAGACTAATGTGATGGTAATCCTGAGGGAATATCGAACCCTCCATTTTTGGAATAATTATAACATCAGCGGTGTTCCATACCGCTAGGCAGTACTGGATCCTTAGCATGGCATTGATTATTGTTACGAGATAAGGACTTCCACGAAAGCAGCTTCAGCGCGGTACTAATGATTCGATCCTCTCCAGGTGCTTTACGCACCTCAAGGTCTTTGATATGACCTTGAGGCTCTGCTGGTTTGCAATACGGGATATCTGGAGATTCTGGTAATGTGCCGATAGGTGGCGCTATCAATGCACACCTAGCGAATACACCTGTATCACTGACCCTATTTTGTACTTCATTTCAGACTCCAGCCAGCGGTTTCCCAGGCCTAGAAGACGACCTGGTGTTCAGCGGCGCGGGCAGCGGCTGCAACAACGGCGACGACGAGGACGAGTGCCCCCCGTTACCAGACGGTGGCGCCGCCCCTGGCAGCGGGGACGACGACCTAGTGACAGCGGTGTACATACCGCCCACGAGGCAGCCGCCCACCAAGCGGCCACCCAAACAGGGCAAGGACCAGCAGGGGGGTAAGCAGTGCGACGACGATGACGAATGCGTAGAGGGCTCCGGCTCTGGAGAAGCTACAGAGGAGTCACCTAAGGTCGTCGGTGAGTGGAGATCCACTTATGATGGGTACCGTCAAAGAGTAATGGTCTGGAAGTAGGGTCAAGAATTAGAGAGATTATGATATGTTAAGACCCTTTTGGCGGTTATAACATATTCCCACATTAAGCCATCTCGCAATTATTCCGGCAAACGCCAACAACCCCCAGCTAAGCATATGAGAATTTTAAATCAATGAATTATTTATCAGTGCAAAAACGGTCGGTAACCCTATTATTGTTACAGATATCAAATAAATTGTATCACAAAAATTGTGGATAATGTCCTATATATTCGAAACATAAGGAAATATATTCAGGATGCTTAAATATTATTCTACATTGAAAATCAATAATGTTAATATAAGATATCCTAGGGTTCATATGACTCGCTGTTGAGTTTCTAAAAGAAACGATGATTCCACCGACGGTTTTGGCACTTTTCAGTGCGGATGTGATCAATAACTTCACGCTTGCTTGAGATCTTAAAAAAAGTTATATGAAGTTATGGTGTCCTACATACTCGAAAAGTATGCCACCATATACCGGGGATATATAATTGTGCGGCCATACTTAACAACAAAATAGCTCAGCCTGTCATTATTGACCTAGTTCACACAAAGACAATATTTATAAGAAAGAAGGCAGTTTCTTTATGTTTGCAAAATAAACTAGCAGATTTAATTTCCTCAGACTAAATCCTTTAGTTCACCAGATTATATCCAGAGATTTTTATCAAATTAACTTATATAATTAATTTAATTTTATCAGACGATGTCTTTTAAGCCACCTGACTTGTTCAAGTTGCTTAATTTATAAGTCTGTGAGGTTTCTCCCATTGGAGATGTTTGTCTAACAAACTTGTGAATTTAATTTCACCAGACTATATTCGTTAGTCCATCAGACGATGCCGACAGAACAAATTAACAGATATGGTCCTGTAATGCCCTTTAACGGATATAGTCCAGTAGAAATAACTTAACATGTTTATTTGTCATATGCTTCGACTGGGAATACATAGTCTTCGTCGTCAGGCAGAATAATGGGCTGAGTCCGATGAAACTGACTTCGAAGTTTATTTGGTAAACACATCGACCGGGGAAGTCGACAACGTCGGTACAGATATAACCCGGTAAATTGAACTTTGTGGTGACATTAGATTCCCTCGTTTATTTGTCAAGCGTCTCGAACGAGATTAGCAGACATGGTCGGGAAAATTGAAGGATATAACCTGATATCATTGAATTAGAACCATATACCTGGTCCACAATCTACAACATCTACTACCTGATTACCAAATAACTGGCGCTTTGGTGAGAGTTTTCCATTAAGGACTTGACACCTGTCTTTTTAAATAAAACGCAAACCATTTGAGATATCTCGAAAATTGTATAATTGGATTGAAGTATACTCAAAACATTTATGTATGGAATTCGACTTCGTTCATAATATGTCCGACACGGGCACGTACCCAGCGATCGATTGATTCAATCCAATTTTCAATCACTCGATCACACATTTCGACAGAAACGGCCGCTATCTCTCGTTCAATATTGGCTCTGAGCTCCTCTAACGGCGCCGGCTTGTTGGCATAGACATTATGAAGTGGTGTTTCTTGAAGCACATCAGGGCTTTCACCTGACGAGCAAGTTTAACCAAACATGCGCCTCATCACTGAAGATGAAATTGATCATTTTCTTGAAACATTTCTAGAGCCCAATTCAAGAACGTACGTCGATTCATATGACCGAGCGGCTTTAGTTCTTGAGTTAACTTGATCTTATAAGGGTGCAGGCCAAGATCTCTTCACCATAGTGTGGTCTGTGGCGATGCCCAATTCTTGAGAACGCCGTGGAATCGACGTGTTCCCATTCGTTTGCGACGGAAGGTTGAATGGTAGCAATATTCTCGGCACTTCGACCAACCCGTTATCTCACTGGCACGGGAACGTCCAGCAGCGAATATGTGGACTCAAATTTTTCTACTAGACTATGAATTGCTTATCTACTGGGACGAGAATTACGACCAAAATTTGACGTTAAGGCGCTTAAAGTTGCAGTCACCGACTCGGAATTTCGGTAGTAAATTTTAATTATTTGTAAGCGTTGTTCGTTCGTGTACTTCACCGTGATGAAAATGTTTTCTTTACTGAATGTTTTGACATTGACAGTTCGGTAATTGATTTAAAGGTGCGTTCACAGTGAAAGTTCAAAGTTGTCAAGTCCCTATTGGAAAACATATATCCAGTCCGTCCGACAACGACGACAGCTCTGCGATTTGGTACGTTTCTTCAACAAGTGCAGAAGCAGCTGTTTCTGGCAACAAAGAAATCACCCGAGTTTTATTGTATTCTTTCTTCATTTACACTTGAATTGAATAAACATAATTTATGAAAGCGCATTCAGTTTTCGTATAAAAGTATATTTTCTTTGTTTAGACGCGTTGTACCTTGTAGTTTGATAATTACCATCATAACTAATGGTAGTGATAGTGTGTGAAGATGCGTTTTGTCTGTCTTCAATTTCACACACATAGATCTGCAAAATTGAATGTGGTCACAATGTGCAGAATTTACAATGAAAAATGAGGTCTTGACCATACTCACTTCACAAAAAACGTTGCTCTTTGAAATAATGCCCATAAGTGATAAACTATTTATATATATATATATATATTACCACAATTAACATGAAAAACACTAGAAACACCAAGGAGTCCACTTTACACCAAACACCACGACCTAAGTATTAACAAGCAGCTTCAAAGCTTAAATGTGACATAGAGTCAGCTCTTTGCTTGCTTTCTGAATATTGCTTTTGCCACTCGCCGCCTTAGTATTACCAAAGAGGCTATTTTAGGCGACTACAGCTTGATAATCAACTACTGACATGCATGCAGCTCATTCCAAAACAACTGTCCATTTTAATATTAATTCGGCAATGTGTTTGTTCAGGCACTTCTGATTCTACCTCCATATCCTCCAACGCCAGTCTCATAACAGAAGAAGCTTCCACAACGTCTGTCCTTATAACGAGCCCTAACTATACACTCCTCCCTGAAGGTGATGATACTACAACCACTAATGCGCAGCACATCACTAGTAGCACAAGGTAAGTTTCCTTCAACTACTTATGATATCTTATTAACACGAAGAAGAAAACTATAATAGTTATTTATGTTTTTAGGACGTAAAGATGGCGCTTATAGTCCGCAGTGTGAAAGTTACTTTACCGCCGTAAGGCATAAGCAATACCGGTTTCTAAAAGATTAACTCCTTGACCGTATTCGTCCATCCACACTGAGAAAAAGCATTAATTGAATCAATTAAAAGATTTAATTAACCATTTGTCAGCTAACAAGTTACATAAGTTTAATTAAACCGTTTACTCAGATTGATTACACCAATTTATTTAAAATTAATCCACTATTAAACTGAGTTTAGCTGCTCCACGTAAAACAATTTAAGTTTATTGATTAATATATATATATAGTAGACAACAACGTTTTTAGATTCGTTTACATTTTTTCTGCTTCCTTGTATTACCGACCCACCATGTAGTACGGTCATTATATGATACAGTATAAATAATAATTTAATTTGATTCATCTGTATAAATTATACATTTGAGCAATGTGCAATAACCTAAAAAGCCCTAATAGTCCGATGCAATTGGTTTGAATGTAGCGAATCTAAATAATCGCATTGTTTCGATACAGTGATAGCAACAAGTTCACATAATGTGACTGAGCTATGGAAACCTGAACCCCTCTATGGTTCGAACAGCCTAAGGTTATGCCCGCTACGTCATCACTTTATACCCTCTCCCTTGCGTCGATGGTACCCTATAAGAATATAGAAAATTGTTGTGACAGTCTCTGGTAAGATTTATGGACATCTGTTACCGCCCTCTTAATGTGGTCCAGTTCTAATCGTGGCGAATATTTATATCGTAGAAAGCTTAAAAATGTATGTGGTCTTCAATGTCCAGAAATTATGTTGCTGTTGACGCTGTTAAGGGACATCCCACTCTCAGAAAGCCATAGGCGGAACGTTTTTTAGTATGGTTCGAACGCTCTTAGAATATGACCGCTACGTCATCGTGGGCGGGTCCGCTCATCACGCGGTCGTCGACAGAGCGCAGTGGCGTTCTATTTTATTTGAAGAATAATCAGTTTTAATTGACAATAATATTATAAAAATCTTTTACATTCATACATACCGGTATTGTTGAAGTGGAAACTTTAATCCCTCTACACTTTCGTGTACCATGAAGTTATTGACATTGTTGATAATTTCCTTTCCTTGACTCCCAATCGCCTTTCCTTTCACGCCAATCTCTTTCACAGACATTGTTTAGATCACTGGTTCAAAACTATTAATAATTTAAATTTGAACAATAGTAAAAATTTCCACTATATTGCAATCTATTTGACAATTTTTACACACGGTGCCTTGTTCAAATTAGTTTACAAACTGAACTTATGACTAACGGACAGGTTTATATATCTGTTGCAGGTAAAATAAATGTGATTGATTAACACTCATCCTCTTAACGCTACTTACGAACGAAGGGATTTAGCAACCGGGAATTATTCCAGGTAGTTCAATTTTACACTTGTTATTATTAGATTTGTTTCTACTAATTTTGTTTACCCTCCCTTGATATTGGTATTAGCCTATTTATCTAGGTACTAATGATGCACTCTAGGAAATCTCATGATTGGTATAGATATAAGCGGATCACAGTCTTAGGATTAATTTAATTTCTTTCAGTTGTTTGCCAACTTTGGGGTTTTACCCTTCAATATTGTGTCTATTATATGTAGGTAGTTCACTATTTTAAATTTTGATTTATGGATCTCCATCAAATATCCACAAACCCCATAAGATTAATAATTTTCAACACAATCAAATATAAAATATGATATGGTTAATAAATAAAAAATAAATAAGTCGAAGAAACGTCTCATCAGATCCCAATTGTGTCAACAATCTCAACTGACTGAAACTTGCGTATCTACATATGGTTCGAACAGCCTAAGGTTATGCCCGCTACGTCATCACTTTATACCCTCTCCCTTGCGTCGATTGTACCCTATAAGAATATAGAAAATTGTTGTGACAGTCTCTGGTAAGATTTATGGACATCTGTTACCGCCCTCTTAATGTGGTCCAGTTCTAATCGTGGCGAATATTTATATCGTAGAAAGCTTAAAAATGTATGTGGTCTTCAATGTCCAGAAATTATGTTGCTGTTGACGCTGTTAAGGGACATCCCACTCTCAGAAAGCCATAGGCGGAACGTTTTTTAGTATGTAGATACGCAAGTTTCAGTCAGTTGAGATTGTTGACACAATTGGGATCTGATGAGACGTTTCTTCGACTTATTTATTTTTTATTTATTAACCATATCATATTTTATATTTGATTGTGTTGAAAATTATTAATCTTATGGGGTTTGTGGATATTTGATGGAGATCCATAAATCAAAATTTAAAATAGTGAACTACCTACATATAATAGACACAATATTGAAGGGTAAAACCCCAAAGTTGGCAAACAACTGAAAGAAATTAAATTAATCCTAAGACTGTGATCCGCTTATATCTATACCAATCATGAGATTTCCTAGAGTGCATCATTAGTACCTAGATAAATAGGCTAATACCAATATCAAGGGAGGGTAAACAAAATTAGTAGAAACAAATCTAATAATAACAAGTGTAAAATTGAACTACCTGGAATAATTCCCGGTTGCTAAATCCCTTCGTTCGTAAGTAGCGTTAAGAGGATGAGTGTTAATCAATCACATTTATTTTACCTGCAACAGATATATAAACCTGTCCGTTAGTCATAAGTTCAGTTTGTAAACTAATTTGAACAAGGCACCGTGTGTAAAAATTGTCAAATAGATTGCAATATAGTGGAAATTTTTACTATTGTTCAAATTTAAATTATTAATAGTTTTGAACCAGTGATCTAAACAATGTCTGTGAAAGAGATTGGCGTGAAAGGAAAGGCGATTGGGAGTCAAGGAAAGGAAATTATCAACAATGTCAATAACTTCATGGTACACGAAAGTGTAGAGGGATTAAAGTTTCCACTTCAACAATACCGGTATGTATGAATGTAAAAGATTTTTATAATATTATTGTCAATTAAAACTGATTATTCTTCAAATAAAATAGAACGCCACTGCGCTCTGTCGACGACCGCGTGATGAGCGGACCCGCCCACGATGACGTAGCGGTCATATTCTAAGAGCGTTCGAACCATACCTCCCTCCCGAACCCCGTAAGCAGACAATCGAGGTTGACGGACGACGTCTTGAATAATAATTATGTGGGATAAGAATTCTTTCCGCCCTTTGGGAACGATCTGCTCAGGCAGGTCAGCGGCCCACAGACATCGAAAATGATATGTGCAAAGGCGCTATGAATGATGGAAAACCCATCTTGCAGCAAATACTTTTCGGTTAGTGATACTATCAGTGAGCATGGTACTGATGGTAGTAACGAGCTCAGCAATGATAGACAGGAATACCGTCGTATTTTTAAAAGAATGTGCCTGCTTATTGATGCTCAACAGATTTGCATTAATGTTTATGATGGACTGTTACGTAAAATGGGTGATAGTGGTAATAGAAGTGTCCTTAAAAAAAACAGCCGAACTGGCTAACGTGCCATATCCTACAATTTGTAAAATTATGCGTAACGGTGTCAAACCAAGAAAAAGGAGAATTGACAAGGGGACATCTATACCTTTAAGTGCAGCAACAACTGCCAAAATAAGGAGAACATATTGTATGATCATTATAAACGTAATAAAATTCCCATAGCAGAGATGGTACATCGAGAATTGATGGAAAGAGGCGAGAGTTGTTTCCTGCGGTCATTTCAGAGATTTGAAATCTATAACAATCAACGTTACTTCAGCAACTTGATTCAGTCATCTCTCATGTCATCCAAACTTGCAATAGAAAATCTTTGAATATTTTCAGATCCGTCTCTGTCCTCATGCCTCTCGGTTCTCGGTTTTACAGCCGTTTTATGACTATCGGCGAAAAATGTAAACGAATCTAAAAGCGTTGTCGTCTACTATAAAAGTGTTTGCCTAGTTTTAGTGAACTATTTCATTTAGATTTAAAAGTATAGTATTTGGAATTAAAAAAACTAAATGCATTTTACTGAATGATCTATATTATAACTGTGCTTTCACAAATCTTAGATATCTTATTATATATGGGATCAAGTTTTACCAACTATTTGTCTGTTTGTCGAGAAACAGGTTACAATATATAACTATTCGCTAAAAGCAATCCTTTGTTATAAACTCAAAAAGTAGGGAAAAGATAGCCGAACTGAATCAGGTATACAAAAATTGTACTTTTATGTCTAATAATAAAACAATATTGCAATATAAATAAATTCGACGCCAATCTTAGCAAACTATGACATTTTGAAATACTACAAAGTCAACACCAAGGGAAGGCTCCATTTCCGATACATTCATTATATATAAGAGAAGAGCACATCAAGCCTAAGTTAAGCACATGTTTGGTATAAATGCCCTTCGTTGTCCTAGATATGGTTGCGTAAATAAAATTTTAGTTATTCCCATTTCCGTCACGTCAGCATGTTTGAAGCGAGAAATATTCTATCCATGGTATACCAACAATTCACCAACAACGGCAAGATTGGAAGCGAAAATCACAAATAAAACTGAGGACTTCGAAGCGCGTCACCGGCTCTGCGTCTGGCGCATACTCCCGATCATTCACGAATATAGGGCCGAGTTCTGCCGAGTCCGCAATTCAAATAAACATGTTATCTATTTTTATTAAACTATTTATTTGTTTTAAATGTACCTTCTCTACAAAAACTAAAAATCACCTAAACTAATAAAACAGTTGTAATAAAACAGGTACATGGTTTGCTATTTTCAAGAAATGAGTGGAGTAGTATATTACTTTCAATTAAACTATTGAACTGGTCAAGAAAATTCAGTATAATTAAATCCAATAATTTAGCAACCTAGGGTAATTGAACAATTTATTACGGGTAATGATAATTTTCCAGACCAACTGGTTAATTGACCACGTTTTCTCAGTGCACGCTTTATCGCCTACCTACTTGTATTAATACCATAGGACCTACACCGTACTGATAGTTCCTAACAAGGACGAAATGGCGCGATGCGAGATATTCGTTGGTTTCATGAATGCAGGCAATCAACCCTTGCAAAAATAAATATAATGGTCTGCGTTTCTTTAAAATCCATAAATAATCACTTTACTCTTAATTCGCAACCAATTACCGTCTAGTTATTCAATAATTGTTTTTTCTGTTATCCAGGTCTAGTCCAGTGACATTCGTGTCGACAGAATACAGTAGTGTAGGTTCCATATCACCCAGTTCTGAAATCAGTACTTGGACTACTACTTCAACCCCAGCCGTTCCAACTACGATTTCCACTCAGGGGTAAGGCAAAAATACTTTAGCATCTGATTGAGTTGTAAAAAATGCAAAAAGTAATGTGTTTTGCTATCAACTAAAAATTTTATTATCATTAGTTTCCACAATTGAATACGGTCATTCAAGCAGAATAAGAATTCAATCTCTTAAAAAATAATGTCGCAAGTTCCTATAACAAAATATTGTGAGAACGACAGTGGAATTTGATTTTTTCAAATTAATCGTAAACGAACTGCGTAATTCGACCCAGTTTTAATAGCATAGATACTAACTAGTTGATGCCGTACATGATAGCGTGCACGAAAAACAGTGCATTCATTTAAATCGCCAGGACTGAACTAGCCCTAAAGCAATATCCCTAAATTTTTTACGTTCTATACTCTTGTTGGTCATCGATAAAGTGGGCTGTTTTAGAGAAAACTGTCATGTTTCAGTACACTTTCATGATAATGGATCCAACATAGTTCCTTCACCATTTTGAAAATATAACAATTCTGGTATAAGATTTGTACAGCGATCTGAACAGCCCCAGGATATTTTCCGGATCTCATATCAAAGAAAATTGTTTACAACTAAAGCATTAGGCTTTCCAAAATCATTTTAAAGTCACGGTTGAAGCACAAATTAGCATTATCGCATTTGGGCTGACGATCTATATATTGTGATTTAGTCTATCGCCACCATCATGTGACGCCTCAATAGGTTAAAATGGTTGTCTTTCGTTGAGTGTTGTTCAAATGTTATTTAAGTTAAGCCCATTTCCCAGTGTTGACGCTTTGAGGGGCCTACACTTAGGGAGTTGTATGCTATACCCATGAAGACTAGAGATAGTAGGTTAAGCTCTTGGAGTGGCGGTGAAGCCAAAAATGTCGACGATTGAATGAGTTGATACACTGTGCAGCAAATGAATTTCAGGTTCTGCGCATGTGGCATCTTTCTCTGTCATTATGTCTGTAGGCAAGTTACAAGCAGAAATATTGGATAATATTAATAAACCTAAAGCATGGAAAAACGTGAGTGAAATTCAGATAAAGATTGCGGCAGGTTATGTTGGTATTTTTGAATGCGCAGACACTCTGCGTCATCCTCTACGCCCACTAGATTTCCGAGAGCTACACCATCTTTGGCGGCAAGATACAAATACAACTCAAATATCTTTCTTCAACGAAAACGTTTTTAAAAAGATTTATTTTTGAGAATAACCAAATACAATGATGTTAATTGAATGAGTTCTGAATCGAGACTGACTGCAAAGTTCATTATACAAACCAAAGTAAAGAACAAATGAAATACAATACTGTAACTGATAAGAAAGGAACGTGGAGGCAAAAGTCCTTGTTCAGCATATTCTTCTCTGTAGACTGGTACATAACTCCTCCACCCCTAGAATGAAGCTTCCCCTGGAAGGTGAATTTCTTTCTTCTTATATCTTGAACTGGAATCTTCTCTTCTAGTGCGTTTTGTGGGACTTGGACCTTCTTCTTTCATCTCGGCTAATTCAATGTCGATTTCTAACTTGGATGCTTTCTTGTTTCTCCATCTTCTATATAATATTATGCAGCAGATGCTTGAAAATACGAGATATAGTAATATGGTCCAAATACTGGGTTTTCCAAAATTTTCTATGGAATTTTCTTCTAAAATTGGTAACATTCGATTAACTTGTAATTCTGGTAAATTTACCGTTTTCAGAGTAATTTGTGTCTCTGGGATATTTTGTTTCATAAAATGGAAATCCATTTTGTCAGCTACGAGGGGCTTTCCATAGGTTTTGTCTTGAAGATAAGTTCATTGTCTTGGAATGATATTTGGCATTCACTGGCTTTGACTAAGAAAATGCCAAGTAATGACTTTGTATCGATTTGCTCCTTGCATTTAATTTTCAATTTTTCTTCGCTGAGAAATACAGCTAAATACTGGTTAATTTCGGGAATAAATTCGATGTGATTTTCTTCAATCTGAAGCTTCGTGTATCTACATGGTTCTGTATGATCTTCTGTAATTATTGACTTCTCGCATTGGGCTTTGTGATTGGCTAATATACGATTAGGGCATTGATAGATTCTACCTTGGGTACAAATCTCGTGCAGGGGTTTGATCTCATTTGGATCAGATTTTAGCAAATACTTATAATTTGGGATAATAGTGACGAATTCTGATTTGTGCATCAGAGTCGGTATAGGTAACATATAATAAAGATCGAAATGGTCAGGATAATCTATAGGAATAGATAGAAAATAACTTATTTGATTCTCATCGATTTTACAACTGATAGAAATAATAGATTCATAATCTAGCATATTTTCATACTTTACTTCAAATGGTAATTCATTTTTATAAAATGTGGATATCTTACGGAGTTCTTGAAATAATTCTCTAGTCCTTATTATACTGGGATGCATGGTTTTCAATTTGCAAAAAGTTATCGAATTTTCGATATCTTGTAAAATATTCAATATGGCATTATAAAGGATAATTAATTGATTGATAATGTCCTTCGCTGAAAGAATATCCTGGTTTGTTGTCTGGTTCAATAAAATATGTTTCAATTGTAAAATGTTATTTCTTAATGTCATCTCATTGTGCTGTATATCTTGAATAGTCCCGTTAAATTTTGCGACAAGTTCATTGTTTACTGAATATTGCATTCTCAGCTGATTTTGAATATGATGCTGATTTTCTTGTAAATGAGATAAAATTTTATCAATACGTCCTCCATCGTCGGAGTCTAAATTTCCTGTTATTGTTTTTACTACATAGCCTATGCCATTAAAAAGTCCTCTCTTATTGCGAGTCTTTTGAGAATGAGATTTAATCTATTCGGTTTTCTCTTGAATCAAGCTCCTTATATAAGATACTATCTTACTATAATTTTCTAGCTCGTTATTAATCTTAGAATGGTTTCTGTAACTATAGTTAAGATTACTGTATTGAATATTCAAATCTTCATATTCCTTATATAAAGGTGATAGATCATAATAGTGCACAAAAGTATGTTTTGTCTTTTGTAGCCTAGCTGTGCCTAAATTTACTGGCAAAATTCCTAAATTGTTCGTTATGTTTCTTATTTCTGCTCCGCATCCGAAATAGATGAGGTATCTGAAATATTAGTAAATTTAAATTGATAAGTTTTCTTCCTGGGCCTTTTAATATTGGATAAATGGATATTTTTGGAAGTATTGGCATGTGTGGGATCTATCTCCGCTCTTTTTAATTTCTTATCTATACTAATTAATTTTTCTTGCTTATACTTATTTTTAGTTTTCTGTTGCTTCTGTTTATTCTTAACATATACCTTGTTAGGAATATCAGGCAAAACTTCACGTTTCTCATTTGCTTTATTTATAACTTTTTCTTTATTCTGTAATATCTTTTCATTTAAATTCCTATATACTAATTTCATTTTTTCCTTATGATTCTGTAAATAATTATTTAATAATTGCTTATCTATGTCTATATTAAAAGGTGATTCTGTTTCATTAACATTTACTTCTATTCTAGATAAAAAGTCCGCATTTGTGTTTGATTTGCCTTTCCTGTAAACAATGTCAAAATCATGTTCTTCTAATCTTAAGCGCCATCTTAATAATTTTAAACTAGCATCTCTAACTGAAAATAACCATTGGAGGCTTTTGTGATCTGTTACAATAGTAAACTTACGTCCGAAAATATAAGGTCTGAAATATTTTACTGCATATACGATACTTAGAAGTTCTTTTTCTGTCGTGCTATACTTTGTTTCTGAATCACTTAATGTTTGTGAGGCGTACGCTATTGGTAAATCTGAGCCTAATTTACCTTGGGATAATATTGCGCTGATTGCATAATTACTTGCATCCGTAGTTATCAAGAATGGTTTGGAAAAATCCGGATATTGGAGTATCGGATCGTTTGTCAATAAAGTCTTGCATAATTCGAAACATTTAATATAATCTGCGTCATTGGGATTAATAATTGCATCTTTTTTCAATCTGATTGTCAATGGCTTAGTGATTTTCGCAAAATCTTTTATAAACTTACGGTAATAACCTAAAAGTCCAAGGAAGCCTTTAATTTGCTTCTTAGTTTTTGGTATTTTAAATTCTGTGATTGGTTTCACACCATCCGCCGTTACAACATGTCCTAAATACGATACTTCTTTTCTAAGAAATTCCGATTTGTCTAACTGTATTTTAAAATTTGACTGACGTAACCTTTCAAAAACTTCTCTAAGTCGAGAAATATGTTCCTGTAAACTAGTACTGAATATTATAATAATGTCATCTAAATATACTAAGCATTTTTCATTTTGAATACCTCTCAGTATGTTATCCATTACTCGCTGGAAAGTCGCTGGCGCGTTTTTTAGTCCGAATGGCATTCTTGTAAACTCATAGTGTCCATTTTCTGTATTAAATGCAGTTTTTTGAATATCATCTTCTGCCATTTCTATTTGGTGAAAACCTGAAGCTAAGTCTAATGTTGAAAAATATTGGCATCGCCCTAATTTATCTAACAAATCTGTTATGTTTGAAAGAGGATAACGATCTCCCAATGTTTTTTCATTCAATTTTCTATAATCAATGACTATTCTTCATTTTTGCTTTCCCGATGCGTCTAATTTTTTTGGAACAATCCATATAGGTGATCAAGCATTGATTGTATTTGTCTTTGTACCTCTTTTCGGTGGATTTCAGGATAGCTGTATGATTTAGTGTAAATGGGTATTTCATCGCTTGTACGTATATGATGCTTAATTTTGCTCGTAAAAGTTAAGTAATTACCATCTATGTGAAATATGTCTGAATACTCTCTTACTAACTTGGTGATTGCGTCTTTTTCTTCAGAGTTCATATGCTCTGCCTAATTTTGTAAATATCAAATTTATATTTTTGAAAGTTCAAAGAATTAATATTCTGTGGATCAGAATTTTCTGAAACTTCGTAATTTTCAAAATTTTCTACATCTATTGGACGAGATATGTCAAGAGAAATCTGTTCTTCAGATAAATTTAATACTGTGCAAATCGCTTCGTGATTTTTCACTGTAGTAAGACATTCAGGGATTTCTAAACATGATAATTTTCTGTATGGAATAATAGCATTACCATTTTTTAAATTTTTTATGTTAACTTTAATTATCTGTTCTGTTCTAGGTGGAATAGTGATAACATTAGAAGATTTTTTTGTAATCTCGTGATATTGCATGGGTATCCTTGTTGTGGGTGTGACTAAAAGATCATTGCTCAAATCAATGTTGGCATTCAATATCTCTTTCAGGTTATCGAGTCCTAAAAGGCATTGGAAATGTTCGTGAAACTTGAATAAATGAAATTTCATGAGAATTTTTGGATTCTTAAAAATCTTTGGACAAGGTATTGTCATACTATATTGTTCGATAGATGAACCATGTGCTGAAGTGATTTGAAATGGGTCTTTTTGAATATGTCTTGAAAATAATTTTTTCGCAATTTCAGGGTGTATGAAAGATTTTGTACTTCCAGTGTCAATCAATACTTTGAGATTATACTCCGGAAATACAATGTATGGTAGTTTGCTACATTTGTCGGTTAAACTCATAATTTCTATTGACTTGGATGGTCCGTTGAGACTTGTGGTTGTATCTGTACCGAGGCTTCTTGCCCTAAAAAATCGTCAGAATTATTCTGAGAATAAGCGCATTCATAATAATTGTCATCGTTTGGAAATTCTACAACAGGTTGGTCTTGTACACACAAGTTAAACATAGCCTGTTCTGCGTTTACACCAGGTCTGTTAAAATTTCTACCTTGAAAATTTGGTTGCTGATACGTCTGTCTAGTTGATGTACTCATCGGAGTAGGCCTTGGCAGATTATTGATCTGATTAGGTCTAAAAACGTTATTATTGTGAAAATTCGTTCTATTCTGATTAGGATTATTTGGTCGTACATTATTAGGACTAAATTGTCTTTGTAATACTGGACGCTGTACCGCTTGGTATTGATTCCTATAATTACCAAAGTTGTTGTTCATATGGCGAACTAATTGCATATTATCTCGATTAACATTTTTATGTTTATCTACCTTATGATCAAGCTGAAAGTCGTTAGTTAATATATTCAGAGCTTCATTCAAGTCTGTAGGATTTTTCGTCCTCATGAGCGATCCTAGAGGTTCCTTTAAACCTTTTAGAAATACTCTTAATGCTACGCTAAATTACATATTATCTGAGCTTCTTCACTCACACAATGTGTAGTTGAAAATGATATTTGTAAATTCAATAAACTCTGAACTTTGTTATGAAATTCAAAGGGGGTTTCATTGTTCTGTTTCAATTCACACAATTCTATATTTAGAGTAAATACGTCACGCTTGTCTTGATATGTATTTAAAAGTGCAGTTTTCAAGTCTGTCCAATTTTTTATAATATTGCTACTAATATTTAAAGCTGCATTACCTTTGATTTTCCCTAAAATACTACTCATAAGATATTCGTTCTGGAAGTCATTTTCATCCTCTAGTCTATAAAATTTATTCACTAACTTTTCGCAAATATCTATGAATCTTGGTAATAATTCTTGTTGACCATAAAATTCGGGTATCATGTTAAGATACTCTGGGCGTAATGACATGCTTGATTGATTTACTTGACTGTTGTTCATATTGACTGTACTATTTAGTATACTAGGTCTTAATTGCAAATTCCTTAAACTATGTTGGATATGTTCCGTATCCGACTGTGAGTCCGAATCAGTGTCACTCAATGTATCATCAAACAGCTTTTGATTGTTTTCACCCCTGTAAGACATTCGTACTTACAGTAGTAATCCAATCCGTCCCATGTGTCCGTATGCCTGGGCCACTGTTGGGTTGCCTGTCCTGGAGCAGATGTTCCTTCTGTCCTTTGGGCTGCTGTCTTCTTGGTTTCTCGATTTGGGTAGGGTTCTATCCCAAATCTGGTTCCGGTGATCACGGTAACGATATCGATATTCCGTCGGATCGTTCGCGACCAATCGCGGTTGGTTTCGTTATAGCCAGTAAACCGTTGAAACGAACCGAAAATGTCCTTTTTTCGTCTGGCTATCCTACTGCTTGCTGCGCCACTCAAATATCTTTCTTCAACGAAAACGTTTTCAAAAAGATTTATTTTTGAGAAAAACCAAATACAATGATGTTAATTGAATGAGTTCTGAATCGAGACTGACTGCAAAGTTCGTTATACAAACCAAAGTAAAGAACAAATGAAATACAATACTGTAACTGATAAGAAAGGAACGTGGAGGCAAAAGTCCTTGTTCAGCATATTCTTCTCTGTAGACTGGTACATAACTTACATGTATCCTTTACGCAGTTTAACCTCCAATCTCTAGTCTTCGTGGCTTTATCACTGTAGCCTTCAAACGGATTTGCCAGTTGGCAGCAGTCTTCACTTCAAATTTGATGGATTTTTGGTCAAATGTTGCGACCTGTCGAATTTATTCCTAGGCACCGCTGGACTGGACCGCTTCAAGTTACCTGAATGCACTCATTACTTTTTATGTGTCATTTGCATCGGAGAGATTGGCTACTTCTAGAACGCCCGCGTGTATGTTCACATCGTTTAATATGAGTAGCTGAGACGTCAATCCAATTTGCGGAAAGCTTTGAATCGTCTTCCAGCTAAAACGGAATATATTTTCAAAATTTCATTGTTATTTATTTATTTAGCCATTTGAAAAGTCATCCGGAATACTCTTACATGAAGTTTTTTTTATATTGCATGAATTTTATGTGCAGTTCCCATATGAAAGAGCCAAAATAGTAATTCCAGGATTTCTAATCTAGTAGGTAAAACTGTGCAATTGTTTGAAAAAGTATTGCTGCTCGACCAGCAAAAATATCAAATACATTAAGTATAAACGCAGAGTTGCCTCAAGGATCAGTATTAGATCCGATCATATTGATAGTCTATATCAACGACATAAGCATAAATGGTAAATTCGTAGTTTTTGCTGACGAAGCCACAATACTTTGGCAAGACGAAGATATAAATGAAATTAAGACCAAAATTGACAGTGACAACAATTGCTTGGCTTACAATGTCAATAAGACAAAATTTATGACATTTAAATGCTCCCTTGATTTTATATGTCATGTAGACAAATTGCTTACTCAACTAGCAAAGATTTCCTTCATTATAAGAACAATTAGTTATAACGTAGGAAAAAGCACAACCTTAAGCAGTTACTTTGCCTTATTCGAAAGTAGATTGAGATTCCCTTTTGGTGTGTATCTTCCCAAAATTGTTTAAAAAAATGCGCTTATTCCTTATTCTACAAAAACGAACTATTAGATATATAGCTAGAAGTAAACCTAGAGCTACATGCAGGCCTTGATTTGTAAATCTTAAAATAATGACTGTCGAATCGTTGTTCATTTTAGAAAGACAATCTATCGTTTTTGAAATAAAAAAAATTGGTTTGAAGCAGACATTTCTCCATTATTATTAAACGAAATCGTGTCTAGGGCCCTAAAAGTTGCATTACATACCGACCAATCTTCGGTGTATTTGACATCGTTGTCAGTTATCGAGGCAGCATCCCTTTAAACTTAATTTTATTCCAGAACCGCATTGGACCGCTCCCCGTACCCTACTCCGCCGTTCCTGCCGCGGCCACAGCCACCCGCCCCAGACGACACTGCTCCGCCCATCGTGTATGGCCCCCATTCGACGAAGAGGCCCGAACGCGTCACTTCGGAAACCTCCGAAATCGTCGCACTGATAATCGGCATCATTGCCGGGGCGCTCATCGCTGTTATCCTCATCATACTCATCATTTTAAAGTTCAAGTCCAGAAGAGATAGGTAAGTGCAATAGTAATGTGCTCTCTAGTTCATTTCGGTGAACTAGTTCAATAGGTTGTTCTCACTAACTAGTTCGCGAGCGAACTATTTTACACAAGAATGATGTCAGTGAAAGCGTCGCCTCTCATTCTTTCATCCGATCGCCGTAGTTAAGCAGCGTCGAACGGGTTAGTAATGGGTAACCGCTTTGGAAGACGCAGTATTGCTTTTTTTGTATTTAATTTTTTGTTTCAAATTTAAATACTCCACTCATAGTAGATGCAGTAGCTATCAGATATACACATTTTCTAACAATTTCAAATAAAGTACACTTTTATTTTTTGATTTCACAAGTTCGATAAATAATACAAGCCTATGCAAGGTATGTAGATTTCCTTTTGTGAGAACAGTTTTTTCAACATCTAAGGGGAAAATGAACTGAAGAAGACGAAAACAGTATCAGACCTTTTGGGCAATTCTAACCTTGAGGTAAAACGTCTTTGCACAGCTTAAAATCCAGTCACATCAGGCATTATTGAATAATAATAATAATAATAATAATAATAATAAAGCCTTTATTGCCCAACAGTACAGGTACCATTTAGAGAGCAATACATAATACAATGGTTTAATTTACACAGTCTGTATGTCATAAAGTGAAACAAAAATAAAAAAAAACACACAGAAAAGAGGAAGGCGCTTTAAGTAGAGAAAAAAGAAACTATAAATATGATCAATAGATATTAGGAAACCAGAATATACTGGTATATACACAAATATCCATATACACATACATACACTTTCACACATATACGAGTATATCGAATGAGATAAATACAGGGTTTCAGAACTAAGGGATCAAAGTTCTAGGGGTTATTCAGTATAACAGTAGAAAACATTTTAGTATAGGGACCCATATCTGGAAAAGTGTCACTACGGCCCTAAGACGCGTTAAAATTTAAAAAGACGTTGAATTGCCTAAATAGGATTTAATGCATTCAATTTTTGCCTTTTGTACATGATATCATCACAACTATTGTTCAAAATGTCTTCCTCCAACCTGAATTCCTCCATTTTTGAAACATAGTCAATAAAATAACATATTTCAAACCCGTGATACGACAAACCTCCAGAAATAAATTTTCGGATTCTTTAATAGAATGCTTCACTTCACAGCCCAAGTCGATACAAGCGGTATAGAATGATTTAAAAAAAACGCATCATTCAATCTATACGTATATCAAATAGAGGCATGTTTTTTAGTTGAATAATCGGGCTTTTCAAAAGTCTCAGTGGTGAGCCCATCATGCAGCGTGTTAAAAATTAGCAATGTTAATGCATTAGGTTTCCCTGATGATCCAAATGAGTTGCTGTCGAAATTCCGTTAAATTATAAAATGGCATCGAGAAATAATTGAAAAAACTAAATTTTAGTGGCATTCTGTAGAGTCCTGCATCTTCGTAGAGATGACATATTATTAGATCTGCCTAAAAGTTCTGTCTGCTTTTCAAAAAACAAAATAAGTTTTTTTTGTATCTTGGATAAACTCCATTGAATAATGTAAGGTCCATCATAATTTTTATAATTTCTTACCAACGTGACTTTTTATCTTCAATTTTTATGAAACGTCTTGTCGCTAGGTGCGAAAAATTGGTCCAGTGTTGTTTTGTATCATTTTGGTTTTTGAAGTGCTTACCCTACAAAAACAGGCGATAATTGGAGTGTACTAGGTCTGAAGCGTACGCCGAGTATGACTAAATATCTCAACCAAGTTCTACAATTTTTGACGGGTCTCCAAAGCAGTATGTGGGCTGGGATTATAACTTACATACAGTGTGTCCCAGAAGTCGAAGTCAAGCCGGAATAGGGGGATAGGCCAAGTCATAATAGTAATCAGAAAAATATAAAAAAGTCCAAGTCGTATACTTAAAAAAAAATCGGAAGAATTTACACCCTGTGAGGATCTTTTAGTTCCCATTACTAAAAATTTAAATTTTTTCTTAGACGGAATGACGGACTGTGTCATTTTACGTTGTGAGAGCAAGACAGACAGTAACGCCACTTTTATTAATTCGTGAAAGTGTTTATTAAATTCTCAATAAATGTTCAAACTGTCTTCCTTCAGCAGCAATGTAAGCTTAACATTTTCTTAAAAATGTTAGTTGTCAGACGGGCGAATCTTCCGTTATTAACAAATTCAGCTGCTTCTGTTATTAGCTTACCTAATTTTCGATTGGCTTTGAGTAAACTTTTTCTTTCACCGCTCCCCAGTAGAAAAATCTAGTGGATCTAAGTCAGGTGAATGGGCTGGCCACGATGTTGTACCATCCATCTGCTCGGGTATTCCGCATCAAGATATTCTCTAAAGGGTCAAGTGCGCCGGGCAGCCGTATTGCTTGTTCCACATGTCTCTGTAAACACTTATTGGCTCGTCTTCAAATAAATTTGGTAAATGACTTTGTGAAAAGTCTAAATAAATTTCACCATTTAAGAACTCTAGCAGCTCAAAGAGTACAATGTTTTTCCCCTTTAGATTCTCGGTCCAGATGCTTAAAACGATTCTGTGATCTATGTGGAATTTCTACATGTGTAGATTCATGTAACCTTTTTTTCAAATGTCTACTCATTTAGCCCATAAAATTTTCTGAAAAAATAGCGGATCTTTCCGGTGTCTCTATAACATTGTTTGACAAAATTTAATTCTTGGAAGATAATCCTGGGGTTGTAGAGATTGTACTTGCTGTGCGTGGTAAGGGTGGAGCTCGTTCTTTCGCAAGATTCGGTGGGCTGTACTTTTGGGCAGTCCCATGCTTCCTTCTATTTGACGTTCTGAAGTACTATGGGCTTGTGGTAGCACATGGTGAAGGAAGAATTTCCTTCACCATGTGCTTGATTTGGGAATCGTCCCTCTAACAGTAAACGGACCACATTCACAAAACCTCGGTGACCGAAATGACGAGCAGCATTTGGGTACCTCTCACGATAAAGCCTAGCTGCAACACTAGCATTCCATTTGCATTCTCCATAAGTGGGGTGCACGTTAGCGTATTTCTGTACAGTGTAGACAGACCTGGTGGCACTACACAATCATCAATTAATAAAAGTGGCGTTACTATCTGTATTACTGTCACTATGTCGAATAACACCGTCCGACACTCCGTCTAAGAAAAAATTGAAATTTGTAGTAATGGGCACTCAAAAATCATAACAAGGTGTAGATTTTTTCGGTTTTTTAAAGCCTATAATTTGATAAGTACACGAAGTTTTTCCACATTTTTGTGATTACTATTATGACGGCCTATACCCCGTTTCCGGCTTGACGTCGACTTCTGGGTCACCCTGTATGAGGTATTCTAAAAATTGTCCTTTCTACTAAATAACGCCGCTCTTGTTTCTTAGAGTACTGTCTTAAAACTATTCAATTGCTGAGAATATCTCTTCAAAAGTCATAGATGACCCTCTATATACACAACATCCTGCTCAGGATCAAAATCGATTTGGAGAAAGCATGTTTCCCGGCTCACATACGCTCTTCTCGTCACATTTTCGGTTCGATTCTGGTCAGTGTCATGAATCTGCTATTCAAGTTTTTCGCAGTATTGTGGTCCATCAAATAATGTTGCCCATCAAATAACGTCGTCCATCTCAAGGTTTATCGGAAAGTTCAAATTCACCGGCTTAATTTTACAAAGCATATTCTGCATGTTCTACTAGGATCTTCACCACTTTTACTAAATTTCTACCGGCCGAAGCTTGTAGTATTTCTCCTTCTTGAAAACTGTACAAAATACTGGGTGAAATGACTTTATCAGTAGCCATTGATACAGTATCACCATACCAAGATGAATTGCCTTCATAATAATTGAATTGCAAGACCATAATGTATGCATTCAGTAGTAAAGTGAGCCAGGTATCCGTCAAATGAAGTCACGTTTACTTGTCGAAAATTGTTGATATCGAAATGGACAGAACTTTCTGCAACAACCTAATCTTGGACGTCTAAGTACCATGTATTTTTAGACCCAAAATAAGTGTATGCAAAAGAGCTTCGTTTTTTCTTCTTAAGACACATTTTTTCATATATTTTTGGAACCGATAGTCCAATTTGAATGAAATTTGGAACACGTGTTTTTAGACGTCATAATATTTGACTTTTACAAAAAAAAAACACGAAATGGTTCGAGAATGGTGAAAACTACCCACACCCCTACACAGATTGTAGCAGAATTTTTCCGCAGCACTCCCAACGACTTTGCATTTTTTATTCAAAAGATCGTTTTATTTACTTAATTTTTTGTCTCTTGTAAAAGCCGCGTATAATTTTCGAAAAAAAAAAACATATTTTTCGGAGCTGATCTCTAAAACAATGTCTCATTACATCATGTGTTAAAATCTAGTAGGCATCTAGTTGGCGAAAATGTGGGATGTTGTCAGTGTCAGATTATTTTTGACAACAAGCTTCATAGAGCTTAAACTGAGTTTATTTTTGATCGAGGTAGATGCCTACTAGATTTTAACACTTGATGTAATAAGAAAACTTTTTAAAAAACAGCTCCGAAAAATATTTTTTTTTCTCTCGAAAACTATGCGAGACGTGCTGTTTTTATAAGGTACAAAAAATGAAATAAGTGCAAGGTTATTTTAAATAAAAAATCATAGTCGTTGAGAGAGTTGCGAAAAAATGTTGCTATAATCTATGTAAGGGTATTTCTAGCAAAACACGTATGTTCCAAATTTTATTCAAATCAGACTATCGGTTCCAAAAGTATTTAAAAAAAATGTGTTATAGAAATAAAAGTCTGACGCCCTCTAACGGACAGACGAAGCGTTTTTGCATACAGATAAATCAAGTCCAATCGACTTATTTTAAGTGTAAAAATACGTGGGACTTTTAGGTCAACAGAATTTTGGGACACCCTGTATATTAGTTCATTCAAACCGTCACCTCTAGCGAGCAAAGCTCAGCTACTGATCTAATCACCCATCTTGCAGATCCTTCAAAGTCGACGACTCAAAAATGAGCTACCAACAAGGACCTTCCGCTGCTCTTCTGGGCACCTCATCTTCCTCTTCCACAAACTACCAACTCAATGGAGCACTCCGAAACGGTGACAAATCACAGCAGTTCCAGCAGCAACAACAGAAGAAGAAACGGGACAGCAAGGACATTAAAGAGTGGTATGTGTAAAGTGGACTAGGTAGTTATGGATACCACTAGGATATTTTGAATAAGATACAGGAGTATTTGGTGAATGAAAGTCCCTTGCAGTTGTATATAGCAGTCAGTAGACACGTTTTAGAGAGATACTAAAATGTATTCGAATGTTCCATAAATACATTCATTTGGTTATTCTGAAAGTGAGTGTATCTGAAAAAGCTTTCTTCTAATGAGCCGCTTCTAATAGATTCTGAAAATTTGATAAAAAGCACTTTACGCCTACTAGCACCCCAAATGTCCGATTTTTTATTGCAGGCCAACTATTACCTTGCTAATATCTAAGAGTTAACTATCAAAAAACGTGTTTTTCATTATCAGGTCTGCCCATAAACGTTAGTTTGATCAAAAGATTGTTTTTAGTTTACCTAGAAAATTATTAATCCAAAAATGTCTAACCTACTTTGGTTAAATTGTCACTGATGGCACTAGAAACTAATGCCAAACGATACAAGATAAACCCAAAAAAGCAGCGCTTCCAAGTCAAAAACTATGGTTAAGTGGAAAACGAATTTACCAGCAACTACCAGTTAACTTCCAGGTTCAATTGTCAATTTGAAAGTTAATTTGCAGTTGAAAAACTCATCAAATTGAAACAAATACATCTCCCTCGTCCTGTCCAAATGAACTCACAAATGTTGAACAACATTGTATTGTACCTCGAAAAACGTTTCCGTAACATCCGAAATGTCTGTAAAATCTCTGTGGTTTTATTTGAAGCGTGAGGAAGATGAACCGAGCTACATCTTTTCGATCCACCATGTGAAATCTAACACTTACTTCTCTATATACCGTATTTTAGAAACCTAACGTTTCCGAAGTTTCACATGCACTTGTTCCTCAGAATAATCTATGAATGGTCCCTTTGAATGAATATCTCAAAAACGTTTTTTACCGCATAAGTAGGTATGTTACAATAATGAAATACCATTTTACCTACAAGTACACCTGTTGAAGCGACGCACAGTTCCATGTTTCAGCGTTTTAGTTTGACAAATAGAGGTCGCCAAAGTTTAGCAGCACCATCGATCATTTCACATTTATCTTACTAAAAATAGTTTGCAGTATATCAGACTTAGGAATTAGTTTTAACATTTTATATATATGAGCAATTACTGGTTGAGGAAATATATCTTAGCGCACATTTATACAAGTGAGGGTCTAAGTTCGACAATGAAGTTGGATAAGGCAAACCGTTGTCGAGTGAAACTGTCGAATGACTCAAAACGCGTGGATAAATGGTCGTTTACAGTTTATTTCAACCGTATGTCAGCTCTTTTTGAAAGTAATGCTGTCAGACTTAAATGCGATATAGCCCTTTTTATAGCACTGAATACACCAGCGCTCCAACTCAAATGTTTGCAAATTGGTTGTAAAGATATGTTGATTAAATCAACACATATCTCTGACAGGGTAAGTAATGCTTTTTATAGTGTAACTGTTCTGTTCAAAATATATTCTATATAAAAACTATTTTTTTTTAATTGCAATATACGACTGTATATGGCGGGGACTTTTATACATGATAAATTGTGACAGTTTTACCAAAAAGAGTTACTTTAAACTGACTAATTTCTATTGCACGTTACATAAGACCTATAAAAATATACGACAAGCAAAAAGAAGTAAAATGTTTCATTGGAAATGTTTTTATATATGTATAGTGTTTAACTTTGTTATTATGCTTGGTATCTAAAAAGGTTTACTACAAAACCTGTAGCCAACAGTAAACACCTTACTTGGAAAAATATTATTTCTACCGGGTGATTCATAACTACTTGGTGGCCCACACATACATTTTTTAAACTGGAAAGCACTATAGTTCATTGCATTACTTTCAATTAATTTCATATAACATACTGTAAGGCTTTATTTTCAAATTCTGTTGAACAATGTATCAAAAAACAACTTTGACAACTCGCGTCCCTACAAACGTTATAACTAGAGTACAAACTTTTTCGTCAAAAAAATTGTATGATCCCATATTCTGCCCCTATCCACTTGCTCTTTCCAATTTCTTGGATAGTTTATATAATAAAGCAAACTGAATTAATTCTCCAAATTTCCAAATGGAACACCCTATATATTTTCATATTTTTGATTCCCCTTTTCACACTTTTTCACTTTTTGATATAAAGCTTATGGGGGTCTGTACGACTGGTCTTTTAGTGGTAAAAAACATAGCGACATCTTCTTGGCCTTATTGCATGAAGCTGGGTAGATTTAATTCATAATGAAAATATACCAATTCTGAAGATCTCCCATTACCAACTAAATGTTGTTTTTTTGTTTTGAAATGTAATATCATTTACGTGAATATCTGATTCACAAAAATGTTGCTGTGACACAAAAACCAGCCGTGCAAACCTCCATAAACCTCATACCAAACAAAGCTTGTAGAAAGGGAAATCTAAGAATATGAAAATATACATTTAACAATTTTGATAAATCGTTCTTGACCACCGTCTCTAAGCCGACTAAAAAACTAAAAAAGTGAGATAGGAACAAAAATGAGATCATAAAATTATTCTCGCGAAAAACTCAGTAAGTACTCTTGCTGTAAGAGTTGTGGAGGTGTGAGTTGTCAAAGTTGAGCATTTTTTTGATTGTTTGTCCAACAGCTCAATAATTCGAAAATAAAATATATCAAATTGTTTCATTTGAAAGTGCCTATTCAAATTTACAATCAAATGTAGGGTCTTTCAATTTAAAAAAATGTTTGTCCAACAGCTCAATAATTCGAAAATAAAATATATTAAATTGTTTCATTTGAAAGTGCCTATTCAAATTTACAATCAAATGTAGGGTCTTTCAATTTAAAAAAATGTTTGTCACTACGTAGCTATGAATCACCCTGTAGAGAGTGGCATATTTCAAAGTAAGAAGCATACTGTTGGGTATAATTTTTGTAATTACCTTTTTTTAGATAGCATGCGTAATAACGCAGTTATCGACCGAGGCCACAGTAAGAACTCACCCTGTATGTGTAAGACATTAACTCAAGCTGGATCATTTCAAAAAGCACAAAAACCCGAAGCAGATGCTTGGATCTTGTTAACAATAAGTTAGTCAAATATTCTAATTATACAGTGACAAATCGTTAGCTAAAGTGTCACAAGGGCATCATTCATAATTAGTTTCGCCAAGTGAAAACCGACTAGCGACGGCAGTTTCAACAACCATTAAGCATCTGGGTGCATTGTCGTTTCTTGGGTTGAAGCACGCGTATTTGAATTCAAGTGCCGAGTTCGGTTGCCATCAGGCTGCGGTTGTCAATTGCTTTTGGCTTGGACAATGCCTAACATCTAAGTGCGTTGGATTAATCAGCATAAAGTAATCATGGGAGAACCTGATGTTTAAGAGGAGCATTTTTTATTCCGTGATACTCGAGAGTGGATATGTTAACAAAAGAATAATACAATACAACCTTAAGTGTAAGTCACCAAAGCTCATTGTTGCATGAGGTATATTTATGAAATACTTTTCTGTTAAGTTTCCTCAGTATAACGTTGTATGTTAGTTGTAACACAATTGGAATACTTAAAATAATTGGTCTAATAGTGAGATACACTTTTATGTGATAGACTGAACAACTAACGTTTATTCGGAAGTTGGAATAATTAATATTTATTTACAACTTCTTAAAGTTTGGTAGAAGTCGGAAATTTTAAGATGTTTCTAGTCAAGACTACCAAAATCATATAGACATATAGCTCTCCACGTAAATGCTTCAGCTACGTCACTAAAGTAACAAGATAGAGTATAACCAAAGAGTAGTTATATCACGAGAAGACAGGCTGGCGAATAGGATTAGAGTTAGGTAACTGATGACTCCAAAAACATGGCGTCCACAAAACAGCTGATGGCGTCTAAGCACGGCTGTTCTCATTTAGTCGGAAATAAATGCGTTGTTGCCGGATAAATAATACTTTTTGGTTGAATGCATTGCCCATCACTTGGATAAACGCATTATTTGTCCAAATTTACTTTTGTTTAGACATTCATTCATGGTGGGGATATTTATATCCTTTTGCAGTCTAGGAAGTACATTTTTCATTCAATAAGACTCCATAAGCTGTTTTGTTAACGCCATGTTTTGGGTTACATCTCTTATCTCTCTCTAACTTATTCGTCGTGTCTGTACTCTTGCTACAACTTCTGTTTGCTATAACCAAGCATAGTTCATTTAGGTGTGTTTACATTAGTCTCAAAAACTGAAAACTACAGCATAGGACACCTAATTAGAGTGTTACAATGAAATAGAATAATATTGTAATTTCGCATTTTTTATCCCAGTCCTTAGAACTTCGACTTCTATCACACATACTACTATCACTGTTTTAAAATACACATGTATATGTAAAATTGTTGCAAAGAGCAAAAAAGAGTATTTAAATGTAAGACTAGCAAAAATGCTATATTATCTCATTTTTCACTACCTATCCTTTACGTATGTTAGCTAGGCATGGCGAAAATTAGTAGTTTTATACACGTATCATAGCTTGAAATGGAAAAGGTAGAACTATTTTCTAACAATTTAAGTCTTTGGACCTACCGACAAAACAACTGAAATTAATTTAATCTATCAGCTAGATGGCCTAATAGTACAGGTTACCAAAACAACTGTTTTGCTAAACTCCTCTTGAATTATATTCTGTATTATACATAGATTAACAATCTTTTGATTCACATAGCACTCAAACGTGATTATGCTAATTTAGTTGTTTGAGATATATTATTAGGTCATCAAATATGAGCTTCTTTCTACTTAACACGGCTGAAACTTAATAATCAAGAGACTGCTTTTGGTAACTTACAATATCATATCATATCACATAGAAATTTATTGTAGACATAGTTTTAATATTTTCTCACCCTTCTATACAAATTTCCTGACCATGCCTTCGGGACAATTAATCGTTACAATGCACAGTTTACGAATACCCCAGTTGTGTACTATTGATGGTAACATACTACCGAGAGTTATCTGTCTATATCCATTTCTGCAACAGGCAAAGTTCAAACGATATGCTGAGCTAACAGATGAGGTTGCTTTGATATACTGAACAATTATATAGAAATTGATTCAGTCCATTGGCATGGTAGATGGTGAGAGGTTGATAGAAAACAACTATAGAGTCTCTGATTTTTATATTGCAAAGACAGTTATTTTAGCTATCAATCTGTGATAAATCCTTTCAACTTAATTTTCTCCCTGCCTAGTGATAGTGAATTTACACGGCAACTTATACGCATTCAGATTATCAGAAATAAAATCATTAAGTAGTATATTTCTTTATTTGAAATGATTAACTTATCTGCAAATTTGAATGCTAGATGATGCTAATTGTATAAATATAAATGGAGATAAGCAGATAAGATGTAGCTATAACATAAATTTTCACCTTGCCTATGTATCTGGAAATGATCCCTACAGTTATAACACTCGTAAATTTTAAAAATAGCAATACATACAGTAAAGATATATAGAAAACACATTAAAAATATTTATTTATTAGTTGTTAAAGTATTTGTTGTGTATAAAAAATATTGTAAGTAGTATATAGCGTTTTGTATTATACTTTTGGATTTTTGTTAGAGCTATTATAATAAAATGGCGTATATTTGGAACAGGCTCCTTATTTTTATTTGAAACCACCCTTCCACTTTAAAGCAGATATAGTTGTCGTCACCGTTCTTGGCGGGTCAAAGTAAGACTGCCAGTATCCCTTTATATATCACCATCATCAACGTTTGTTCGGTAAGCTCAAAGACATGCGTTTTGTTAGTTGTGTGTCTCCGTCTCGAAAACTTTGTCGTTACGTATGAGTGCCCTTCATTCATATTTGTCATCTATCATATCAGTATTCGATATAAAATTGTACAATGCCCGGAAATGCGATCAATGGAGAAGGCCGACAGCTCGTGCTAAATTTATTAGAGTATTTCCAGGAAGAGAATGAAATCAGCGGTCTCCTGTTACCAACTTCAAGCGTACTGGAGAGAGAAGCAGACTAAAGATCAAGATCCGCCCATAGTACGGAGACTCGCTCTGCTTACCTAATTCATATGACTACAACTATATTTGAGTAGAACTGATACCCCATTATACGGATGGCCTATAACTTGAGACCTGTTAAGCTTTGGGGGCTGTACCCGTTAAGGCATTTATTTAGAACGCCAAGTCACATAAACCAAAAAATTCAGCGAAACTTATCGAAACCACTCTTCCACTTAAAGCAGATATTCGAGTTGAACCGATAGCCATTATACTTGGACGGCCCATATCTTGGGATCAGTTCAGTTTTTGGGCTTGTGCCCATTGGAACATTTGTTTAGAACGCCAAGATATATACAAAAATTCAGCGAAGTTAACCGAAACTATTCTTCCACATAAAGTACGTAGCCGTACGATACCCCATTATACCGACTTGGATGGCCTATATCTTGGGACCCGTTAAGTTTGGAGACCTGTGCACTTTGAGACATTTGCTGACGACATGACGCATAACTTGAAAAATTCAGCAAAATTAACCGAAGCCACTTGTCCCACAGGCGTGTTGCCGGCTCCTTTGGTGGCTCACTGTAAAACTACCGATGCCGCTTTCATACCTCACTCTACATCGCACGTACACAAGCCAACTGCCACTGTGTTATACGTTTGTTAAAATACAATTAACGGGTAATATCGACAGTTTGTTTCTAATGTTTTGGAGTATTTCCAGAAAACTAATGAAAACCATGATCCTCTATCACCCACTTCATGCGTGGACGAGCGAGTAGCAAATGCGTTGTAGATCGGATTATAAAATTTCCCTTCCTTAGTAAAGTTAGTCTGGCAAGCGAGATTTCTCGCACGAAAATGTTGAACGTTTCAGCAAATTGTTGTTCTTGTTTCAACATCAGTGTCGCATGCGAAATATTCTCGCTTATCATCGTTTGCCACTGTGCTGTCACTTTTCTAAAGCGATTGAATCTTAGAACGGCATTGGAAAATAGTAACTAATGAAGAAACTGCTACTTTGTCATCTGCTATTTTGTTGGTGAAAAAACCGCTAACGCGTCATTCATTCAGTTGGTCTTATCTTCACGAGGCTTTGGCGAATAGAAAATGTCGGCTGCGAAATTCCAAGACCCCCAGGCTCGACATCAGGTTAGCATTCATTTCAGGTGTCAAAAAAAAGTACACGCGACATAAGCCATGTTTTCCCATAACCAGTTAAGCGCTTATACTGTATAACGCATATCAGACGCTGTAAACGGACACATAGCAACATTTACTCACAGAAACTGTGTAACTATTGTGCACGAGCATTCATTACGTCAACCGTGACTGCAAATAATAGCTGATTATCTAGCAATATTTCAACATTCTCTTTATAAACAAGTGACACAAGTCTGACGGATCTGTTAACGCCAGGTCGTATTTTGTCGTGGTTTTTCGTACGCTACGAATTCATATTGTACTTTCTACAACCAAAATTTTAAAGGGCAATGAAACAGCCAATACAAATAATTCATAATGTGTGCGTAATTCTATCAAGTTAAAAATTGGAAAAATGTAATGGGGATATACAGCTGCAGGGAGTCACGAAATGTACACAACTGGGACAAGGCAGTCAATACAGGCATAGACTGACTTTTAAGCACATTGCGAAAATCCAGAGGAAACGAAAACTTTGTGTAGAAGCTGATAGGTACATCACTGGTGTTTTACACGAGATGTATTCATTAATATTTCTGAAGCTGCATTTGAATTAGGTTACACTGAAGACGGAAAATTTACCAGAAACAAATTTTTTTGCAAGTAAAATTACGGCTACTGGAAAGGACATCGCAGTCTGTCCTACTGACTTACCTACATGTACTATAATAATTTTCTAATAATCATTTTTCTATATGTACTTCGTATATTCGTTTTATTAAAATTCCCAGTCACTGAAAGTATTTAAATGTCTGAAAGAAATCATTGTTTGGTATAAACAGTTCTGAATATGGTAATGAGTTTTCACACCTGATTCATTATTGCCCACAACAGACTTACACAGATGTCACTTGCTGATCAGCTGTTTACCTCAGCAGCCATCCAAAATGCTTAATAAGCACGCTGTAGGCATGGCCCTTGCTGCCAGACTGTGTCCCTATACATAAATATTATCACTGAATGTATGAAAATCTAAGGAGATATGAGATATTGGAACAAACTAAATGGATTCAAAAACAAACATATATTTCAAACATTTCAAAAAACAAACAACTGTTACCGGTGCAATAACGGATCATCCTCGTCGAAGTCATCAGTGACTTCTATTGTATCCACAATCTCATCAATGATTGTCATGATATTATCCAACTTCTCGTTGGCTTTTTTGAACTTTTTCACGAACGCTATTTTTTCTTCCTCAATCATGTCGCCTACATTCACTGTCGTAGGTTTGTCAACGATTACAATAGTTGTAGCTCCAATTTCGCCAGTTTCATAATCTTCATCACTTCTGCTTAGGAGGCTCAAATCATCTTCCAAGCGATCTTCAGCTTGGAATTTTTCAGATATTTTTGGAAGATACCTTTTAGTAGTCCCTGAAAGATAATGACAGACTCGTCAATAACGCACCTATGATAAAAGTGTTTACACTTAAAGTGGACACTCATTGAAGGGATGGACAGAGAAAAGACGCGCCACTCTGTCGCTGGGTTACTTTACACAGGATCAAATGAGAAGAGAACAAGATCGAGGTGAAGGAAAGTGAGCCGAGCTAATTTCTGTTGAAATGTTGCCAAGCGGTTGATAGAAATGATGATATTGATATAACTAGGGTTAGAGCTATGTGCTCCATTGAGGATTTTAATGGAAAATTCCGATTTTTCTCAGTACCACCGTCGCCTTAAATCACTAAAAAAATACCTACAGGAGAGGTGTGATATACCTAACGGGTTTTTAATAGTCCAGATACCCGTGGTATGACAATAAATCCAGAAATAGGACGCCAAATTAATATGGGGCGCGTAAAGCATCACTGATTCGGTCAAGAGCAACTTTTACCTTTACTATGATCGACGTTCATGTCGAACTGTTTCATAGTTGCTTCACTTTCAACTTTCAAGTCAATAGCATTTACTAACTCCTTAATCACAGTTTCCTCTAATTTCGACTTTATGAAGTTTTTATTTGTTATTTTTGGATTACTGTCTATTATGTTCATTATCTGTTCCTGAATTCTGGAAAAAATAAAATCAGTTATTATAATTTAATAGTTAGTTAATAAAAAACATCAATATACAATTTAGTACACGGGAGCAAACCCACCTATTTATTTCATCCTTGTGTTGTTGTAACCTTTCCTCTTCTATAATTTTTTTAATAAGTTTCTTGGTACGCACACTATCATCTGGGGTATATTCTTCATCCATCCTCTTTTTCTTATATTTGTGTATGATCCTTCTTATGTTCTGTTTAACATGTTGCCTATTATTGATATATTCGTCTTCTAACTTTCCTATGGTAGGTACCTGCAAACAACTCCAAAAAGCTCTATACTTCAAAATATCTGATTTAATCCAATCCAGACGGCAAGTAATGAAGTCATCAAAAGCTGTATTATTGCCCTCTCGGAACAAAATCACAATGGTAAAATGCGCTATTAGAAAAATGCATAATCTTATTCAAAAGGACCCCTTTAAACAAATCTGCATGTTCCCACGCCCAAAATTGCGCCAAAATGTTTTAAATAGTTTTTTAAACATAATCTAGAAATTGTTTCTTTTTTTTGTTCCGGACGTTTTTTTTTTTTTCGGTGTTTGTGTCATTCTGAAGAAAAAAGATTCTTGTAAACTTTTTTAAAGTAGATAGTTTTCGAGACATAAACAATTCAATATTTAAAACAGTGCAACATATGCAATTTTATAGACCCCGACAACCAATTCGAAAAACGAAGATGTTAATGTTGCCAAAGAGATTTAGCAAAACAGCGGCCGCCATCTGAATCCTTACACAGAATATACATTGAAGGCGGTCGAAAATGGCACATTTTCACTTTTTCAAATATTATATCGCAAAAGTTCTGAGGTTTATTACTGTTCCAAGGATTTGCTACTCTTCATATAAATAATTTGTTATTCGACCAAAATAAGAGAAGCCAGTTGGTTTGATCAATGATTTCTTATAATTTTTTACGTGTTTATTTATTTGAATTAGTTACAAACTATTTTAGAAATAAATGTATTTCCTGGAGTTTATTCACAGGATATTATGTCGACAAATTGAACTTTATTAAACAACTAAACACAAACCTGAGTTTCTCTAACTCCTTGTTGTTTTACTAACAGTTTCGTCTTCGTCATATATTTCGCTTGTGTTTTTTCAATTTTCGAACTACTCGCTACTTTAAATTTACTGACAGCTGGTTTAATGTATCTTGACGAATCTTCCTTTAGAGGTTCTGTTGGTTTTTTTAAAATCATCTTTGGAATCTTTGGCACAGTTTCTATTTCTTCGTCAGACTTTTGATCAAGAGTTGCTTTAGTTTTGGTCTTCTCTTGAACTTTCATAAATGCAGGTGCTGCTGGTTTATATGAAGATACAAACTTTTTGCTATCACTGCCAACTTTTTGTATCTTGAGGAATTTACTTTTCTCTGGCTTGGTTTCAAATACAGGTTCCTCAGTATCCTTTGCTCCATCATTATCAAATTCCAGATCCCATTTATCGTGTACCTTTTTGAGTTTGATGAATCGACTCTTCTCGGGAAGGGACTCTACTTTTGGCAGATCTTCAGCATCAGCTGCGTCATACTCCCCACTATCTAATGACTCAAATGTTTGTTTTGCCGCTTCGCTAAACTTTTGTACTTTGATAAATCTACTTTTCTCTTTGAGAACATTCTCCACATCTTTTTCATTTTCAGTAATTTTAGGTTTTGCGCCAAAATCCATTGTTCGAATCGGATCGATATCATTTTGTTTTTTATCGTTTATCTTCTGTAATTTTAGTAATCTCGGTTTTTCTTGAGACTGAAAATTTGTTTCAACATCTTTATCCCCAGTTATCTTCGTTTCCTCCTCTTCACGTGTTATGTCGCTAGGTTCAACATTTTTTATTTTCTCCCTAGTATGTTCTCTATTAACAACGTTTTGGTCCGTATCTGTAGGTTCACTTATTATTTTAGGTTTTTGAGTAGTTGCCTTAAAAGTATCATCATGATTCACAATCATGGATTCGACCTTATTGTCATCTCGGGATGGTCCTTTATTAATACCATTTAAAAGCTCTTCCGAATCCTCCACTGCGTGAGCGCTACTTTCTTCATCCTCTCCTGACTCTGTCTCATCAATATTATTTTCCTGATCCTTACTTTTGATGACATGCGAACTTTTATCGAAAAGATTATTATATTCTTCTGCAGATTCCTCGTTCTTAAGGATTGATGCTAAAACAAAAAGTATACCTATACAGAATGTTTCAAATTTGACCCTCACCAATGGAAACTTGGAAACTGTAAGAGATACGAGGTCGCTTAAATGGCGATAAAGTTGCGTATTCAGCTAATCAACACAATGCCGCTTAGAAAATTTCGAAATTCAAAGTACTTCCGGAGAGCGACAGAAAAACTGAATTTTCCCAAAATAATTTCAATTTTTCCTGACTTTATTTGTAGTGGGCATAATTAGAATTTCAATATGACGTTTTATCTCTTGTCCTCCAGCATCAACTTGATTTTTTTATGGACACCATACTGGATTTTTGCACCGATAAGTAGAGTTTTTAATTCTGATTTCAAAAATGTATAAAAAGTCATACATTGAGTTTGTCAAACCTTAGTTATTCCAAACAAAGCAGAATTCCCTAGGTATATAGGCCTTGAAATTATCAGATAGTCATTTGTTTCGCCTACCAGATTTATCCCAAAATAACTTTTATTTTTTCCTGACTTTATTCGAAATAGGATTTAAAAATAGATTACATATTGGCATTTTTATTTATTCTTCTCTAAAAGATGGCATAGTTAAATTTCTAAGCTGATATTTCTTCTTTTGACTTAGATCTTTCCGTCCTAAATTAAGTAATATATTTCCTTAGTTGACCATGAATTTTTTGTTGGATGAAAATGATAAGAAACTAAAAAGGTATGGTGCAACATGAACACAAAATGAAAATTTTTTGATGGTAATAACAATAATAATCATAAATAATCAGGGTTAAATCATACCAGATGTCCAAAATGTTGTCCGTTATTTTGTAGGCAAAGATGACTCTTTCTGTACATTGTTCACTGCTCGATTTATTTCTCTTCCTCTCAGTCTTCCAAACTCTGTTGCTATGTTCAATTTGAGGTCTGGCCTGCAGGGCCGGGCCTACCGGGTATGCAGTGCACGCAGACGCCAAATTGATAGGGGCGCCAAATACTTGGTTATTTGGCTCACGTTCCAAAAATATGTTATCTAATATTTACCGTTCCGTACCCTGAGGTAGATATCATTTGCCAATACCCCTCAGTACCCCGGAGTAGATGAGAGCACTGGAATGCTAAGTAGCTAAGTTGCTTACAGTTTCTGAGACAATATACCTACTTTTTCCATTTATTATGTTGTCTACACTAGCAATGACATATCCGCCAACATTGGTTTGTTCGCAGGCGCGTTTATTGTTAATTTTATCGTGAGGTGACTTATAAACTGCTGCAAACAAGTAAGTAAAAGAGTAAACTAGCACATGTTAATCAATCTAAGGTCCCTTGCATACCACGTTTTTTTTTTCAGGCGCCGTCGACGCGTATTTCACGCAACAGGAACGCGCTGTAAGCGCGATGTGATCACAAACAATGTATGTATCTATTGTTTCAAGTTAAGCAGCGCAGCTAGAGCTCGATCCTGAAACGGGCGTCGACGGCGCCTGAAAAAACGTGGTGTGCAAGCGCCCTAACAATGATTGAGAAATTTAGAATTACTTTCCGATAGGGTCATTAGCTAATTGATATTTTTTTCTCTTCAGTAATAACCGAAATGAGCGAAGGCTGTAGGAAAAAATTATCTGGAGCTCAATATAAAAGAGCCGACTGGAAATGAAGGCGGAGCGGGAAAAACTTAGTGGATCGCTGACCAGATTCCTAAAACCGAACTGTTCATCGCCAAATCTACCTCCCAATCCAACCGCAGAGTCAGTGGTTATTGACGATCAGCAACCATCTATCTCTGAAATGCTGGTTCCACTCCATCCACATTCTGAACTATTAAGTAACCCAGTAAGTGAAGATACAGGAGCTGCCCATGACCGATATTGATATTGCTGATCCTCTCTCATCCACTCAATATTTAAGGCAGTTACCAAATGGCGGAAAAGTTAATAGGGTTGGTGTATTCTAAAAAAGTGAATGCCGTATTCTGCATTTTTTGTAAAGTTTATAGCACGTTGTCTCATAAATTAACCACTATTCTAATTGGAGTCATATTTCTGTTAATGTTTCTCGTCATGAAAATAGTATGGCGTATATGAAATGTGCTCAAAAATGGCACGAGTTAAAGCTGTTTGCCGTTTGAATAAAGAAAGCACTATTTATAAAGAACAACATCAACAGTATCAAAATAAAAAACAGAGATGACGCGAAATCATTAAAAGAATGATATGTATTGTGCAGTATTTGGGTGGTCAAAATTTAGCTTTCAGAGGTGACAGCTCGAATCTTTATGAATCAAATAATGGAAAGTTTTTTAAACTTGTTGGAATGTTTGGCAAATTTGATCCTATTATGATGGAACACCTGACCAACACTCGATGGTCTAAAGAGCTGCGCCGAGATTTGCCACATTATCTGAACAATCACATCCAAAACGAATTAATTCATTCATTGTCAAGAAATATTCAGCGAGAAATTTTAGACTACCTCAAAACAGCAAAATATTACTCTATAATTTTGGATGAATCTCCAGATGCTACTCATGTTGAACAGCTAACTTTCATAATTCGCTTCGCTCATGTTCTTCAAACGAAGCTGAGATTAGCTTTTCAAGTGAAGAAATTTATCAAAATTTGAAATAGATCTTCATGATACGAGAGGTCAGGGCTATGACAATGGTGCAAATATGTCTGGCAAGCATGTGGGCCTTCAAGCTGAAATTAAAAAATATAACTCCAGAGCGATCTTTTTGCCTTGTTCAGCTAATACGTTGAATTTAACTGTCAATGATGCAGCTAAAGTTGCTCACGAGATTGAAGTTTTTTTTCAATTGTTCAGGAGCTGTTCAATTTTTTTTCGCTTCACGCTACAGATGGAATACTTTAAAAAGGAATATACCAAACTTAGCTTTGCAATCAATAAGTGAAACACAATGGGAAATGAGAGTCAAAGCCATTCGCCCTCTTAGATTTCAATTTTCCGAAATTTGTAAGAGCTTACATGATTTGGTGGAAGATGATTCCAGGGATATGGCCACAAAACATTCAGCAATATCACCATTAGACAAAATCAAAACATTAAAGCTCATTTGTTCTATCATAATTTGATATGATCTGTTAACAAAGATTAATACAGTAAGTAAAATTATTCATAATCCAAACACCACTTTAAATGAATGCCACAAAGAAATAAAACGTCTTATTATATATTTTATTGAAAGAAGATCAGACGAATATTTCGAGATTGTTATGGATGAGGCTGTAGCAGAAGCAGAAAAAAATGATATTGGACAAACAGTTCCTTTATTGAGGCAAAGACAGCCGAAGCGTCAGTTTTCATATGAAAGTACAGATGAATCAGTTTTGGATCCTAAGCAAAAATTTAAGATAAGTTTTTATTTTACAATTTTTTACACAACCATTCAGCCTCTACAAAGACGATTCGAGGGAATAGACAAGTTTAATTGTTTATTTGGTTTTTTATGTGATCTCCGAAATCTGGAGTCTGATGTAATCAGGCGGCCATTTTATAGATTTGGATTTGGCTTTGCAAATTCAACAGGAAAAAAATGTATCGAAAAATATTGACGGTCTTGATCTACACAAGGAAATGATGTTATGCAAAATTCTCATTTTTCCGGACACTAATAAAATTTCAGACTCGTCCATAGGTATTTTATACCATATAACAAAGAAAAATCTGCATTTTATTGTTCCCAAATTTATTTATAGCCTTTAGGATATTGCTAACTTTACCAATTTCGGTGGCTTCTGGCAAGAGAAGTTTCTCGAAATTGAATCTTATAAAAATTATTTGAGAACATCAATGTGCCAAAAAGGCTAAGATTTGGTAATTATTTCAATTGAAAATAAATTCTGTGAAGCCATTGATTACAATGAAATGATCGACGAGCTTGCAGCTGTGAAAGCAAGACGTGTCGTGTTTCATCAATTTATTATTAGTTACGTACTCTTAGTATCATTTTTGTGTGATATTCCAAAATCTCTTCTTTACGCATTTCTAATGTTGTGTTAACCTCCTACTGTATTGGTAACTAGGTCGTTTTATTTTTCTCTGTTATATTAATTGTATGGATGACATTAAACATTGTAAGAATATGTTATGATATAGGGCATCTTAAATTGAAAACATAGGGGCGCACCAAAAATCCTGCACGCAGGCGCTCACCACCGTAGGAGCGGCCCTGCTGGTCTGGTATACAAAACAAATGAAATTTTATAATCTCAAGGCCTATCTAGGAACTTCTGTTTTTCTGGAATAACTAAGGTTTGACCATGTTAATATACCTATGAAATATATACATTTTTGAAATAAGAATTGAAAACTCTATTCATCTGCGAAAAACTCCAATATGGCGTCCAAATGAAAAAATAAAGTTAATGCTGGACAAGAGACGAAACGCCGTATTGAAACTCCAATTATGCCATCTTGTAGTGGAGAAAAAGTGGCAATTTTAACATGCAATTTATTTTGAAATCCCATCTCAAATAAAGTCAGGAAAAAATAAAAGTGATTTTGAGATAAATCGGGTAGGCGAAACAAATGACTATCTGAAATTTCAGGGCCTAACTGGGAAAATCTGCTTTTTTTTAAATAACTAAGATTTGGCAACGTCAATGTATGACAATGTAAAACTTTTCACCTATTTAAGCGACTTCGTATCTCTTACAAATTCCGAGATCCCGGTGGTGAGGGTCGAATTTGAAACACCCTGTATAGAAAATATATTATACCGCTTTTCTTAATTTTTGTTTTAAAATTAGAAATCGCTACATACTGTTTACTGTATCATTTTCTTCAGATCCTGAATTCACATCATCACGTTTAAGATTTTCTTCTACACTTTCTTCACCCTGGATTTGAAGCAACTCTTTATAATTTGGTTTCCTTCTCAATGTGAACAGAACAGGCTTGGTTCTTATTTTGACTGGAGATATAGACAGATAGTTGAACGAAACTTGATGAAATGCCTCAATAGTATCGACAATATCATGTGTTGCTATGTATGGTTTCAGATCGCTGGAGAATTTACTTTTGGCTTCAGCGATTAAATGTGTAAATTGGTACAATTCGTAATCTCCTGGTAATAATTTCTCCTTCTTGCTATAGCTAGAAACGTTATGTTTCGATCAAAACCCATTGCACACTTAGTGACATGTTATACGAACGCTAAATACGGCGACCTTTTACGCGGAGAACATAACTTTTTTATGACACGGACGCTAAATGTGTGCTATACACCGTCACTGACGGCTCGACGCGTTTAGCGACCGTCGTTTTTAACTAAAAATAATGTTTGAAATGAAAACCTCATAGTCTGACACGAATTTTTAGTAGCAACAAGTTAGTATTAAGGCCCGGCTTTTCAATCACAGGTTAACTACAGTTTTGGTCTCAACTTATGTTTATCTACGATAAAGCGTTTTTCACATCATGTTTATAGTAACTTATAATACGTATACTATAGTAAGTAGTTAAGTAGAATACCATCTATGAGTTAACTAGAAAAGTTGTAGTCACCTAGCAATCCCTGACGTTTGTTGACACAGACTTTTGCATTTATTAACAAATTCATAACAATTTATTGATAAGTATAAATTAAAGCTGAAACTTTTTTTCTGGATTACGACGTGAATGCGTATAGCAGAGACGAATAGGCAAGAAGGCAAAAAAAGAATCCGCCATTGTCCGAATTACTTTGATGAATTTGACAACCTGGATTTCCTTGCAAGATTTCGTCTTAAAAAAAGGACTGTAGAAACAGAAATATTCTCTTCCCAGGAAACTGTGCCGCTTTTTTTAGCTCTCTATGCTTTTTTTTCTGACCAATGATACTAACATCATGCCCTCATCTTTTGAGAAATTGTGAGCTCTTTTTTTGCTGTTCTCTTTCTTCATGCTAAAAAAGTTTTTGATAAACTTTAGCAACAGGAATAGCCGTATTTTTTTTCTCCGCTGTAGATCTTTATTTTTGGGTCGTATATTATAGAAGTGATGCTAACAAGGTGGCAAACGCTATATTTAACAGATATTTACAAACTTAATTGTACTTTTAGCGTATTTTTGACCTCTGCAAGGTTGAATAGACTTTGTATTTGCCACCTGTTTTTAACACCATTTCTATAATCCCGTCTAGAAGGTCCACTACTGAACATTTATACAAACAGTGTTTCAAATTTCATCAATTTTACAAAATGATATGACACAAGACACAGACGCCGAACGCACAAAATACAGGCCACGATATCGAAGAACCGCAGATGCAGGGTTGCAACATAAATATATGATGAACTTCTGCGGTGCTTTTAGTTAAGGCCTAACTCTGGGATAAATTTCCTCTCACTTGAACTAGGTGTTAAGGCGGATAACACCATGAAAATGTAGAGTAATACCAGCGCATCTCAATGCGTACTGACAATAAAAAAAGAGGTTAAGACTTAAATGTCAAATGACGTTCTTTTAACGCTTACGAAACCAAATTTGTGACTGCTAAAACTCTCTAATATTGGTTCTTGTAACTATTTGTTAGGCTGTCTAGATTTCATTCCAGAGGAATAAGGTCTTCCTCGCCGAATTCTTCATTATTTATGGTTACGTACATAATTACCAGGGTGATTTGTGGACAATGCTGTCGGCTGTATGATGCGACTTGTCGATCCACAGCGAAGATATTTTCAAATATATATATATATATATTTGTGATTCTGTTTGGAAGTTGGCAATTTGAAAATATTTTATCCAGCCAAATCAAACACAAACGATAATCGAAAAAATAGCAAAGAAACTGAATACAAAACACAAGTACAAAATGTCAAAATTTACGTCAATCTTTCAAATCAAAGCACAAATCAACAAACTTTTAGCACAGAACTAGCCTTTGTGGCAATATTGCCAATAAATGTATTAATTCTAAGAAATATATCTATATTCCAAGCTTGCCAACATGACCAAAAGTGGGGGTTTATAAACCCAGAGTTAAACCTTGACGGTGCAAAGCTACTCGAATTTAACCTGGGGTTACCGCTAACTCCGAGTTAAGTAATCCTCACCTTTAACCCAAAGCGGTGCAAACCACCGCTGGTAAGCTAACTGGCGCTGTCAAAATACTTGAAAAACGCATTTACAGGCAACTAAAAATTAATTTCCTGGTTATACCGTAGTTAATTAACCAGACAGTTGACTTACGGTTGAAAAACTGAGCCTAAGAGTTACAGATATGGTTGAAAGAATTTAGAAAAGTTGCAGATTTTCATCATCGTGACAAGCTAATCATCTGGATCATTATCATGTCTGAATTGTGTTTGGTTTCTAATACTCACGTCCAATCATTGTTGTACTGTGTGAACCTAGTGACACCCGTCTGAGCTGCTAAATTGCAGATGTGCAATTTGACGTTTGGCTCATCTCTAGCTAACCTATGTACTCGTGCTATGGCCGTTCCTCCTGGATAGTTGGTACCAGAGATACTAAGCAGGAATAATGTAAACATGACGTTGATTGCAAGATGGCCAGCCACGCCCAAAGAGAGAAAATGATATACTGGAGATTTGTTGCGGTTTTCCCAGCTAAAATAACCATTTGAGCTTCATAATACTTTGTTATATCACAAAGGTCAATACTTTACAGTTGCAGTCTACGATTTTAAACATTAAAATTGGACACAAAGATCGTACGTAATGAAAAACATTCCAATCTCCGTACATAAAATTCGTTGCCTATTAACTGCTAAAGTTGTTTAAGAAATGTAATTTTTAAAATGTAATATTTGTGAACTGATCTGCTAAGCGATCGTAATACAGAACAGTGGTAACGCCAGATACTGCTTTTTAATTGAATAGTACAATTTACTATGATTCTCAGTAAGCTCAAGTGCAAGATACTGTTTTGTTAGTTTTGTTTTCAAGTTTGCCAACTTACATAATCTGCTCATAAATAAATAGATTTCATTTTTTTTTTCATTTTAAGAAAAGTCAGTGGCGTGCCAGATGATTCATTTTTGAAAACGTACCACCCTGTATCTCGAAAGCTAAAACGTTAGGACATATGTTATTGTAAAGTTATTATAAATTCTGACGTTTTCAGATTCTAGATTCGTGATGCCGTGTACAGACAGTCATGCGAAAGTAAAGAAACATCGAGTAGCTATTAACCGTTCACAACGCCCGCACTACAATACAGACCAAGAACTACATTGGTCGCATTCATTTCAAACCACAGCGCTGCTCAAGTGATTTACTTAAAACACCTTTCGCCCGGTGATTCTAAAACTGTGGGACGTGGTAAAACTAATGGGGGGGCGGTCAGGGCAGGTATTTTTTTTTATAAATCTCGGGCAACAACTAAAACACAAAGAGATAATGCTGTATGCTAACGTTTATTGCAGCAGATATTAGGTAATTTTAAGGCTTGTTATCAAGGTCTCAGTGAAACTTAAGAAACGATTATATAAAATAGAAGAGGCGGCGCACTTTTTTATACCGAAGCAGCCGCGCTGGCACAAACCTAAATGCCAGGCCATCGGGGCTGCTATGAGGAGCTTAAAGAAACTTTGTAAATCCGATTTTTGCACTGCCTAAGGTTAGTAGAACTCCTCATGTAGATTGTTGCACACTCACGATACCATAGAGACAGGGGAGCGGTCGTATCGACCAGTTCTGGATGGACTAAGATTGACACGGTTATGATGTGAGACCGAAGTCAGGCGGGTCTATCTGGCAGGCACAACACGCGGCGGCATCACGGAGAAGAGCTCCGAGGAGCATAGCTCAGAGTGAGGAGGTCTTATGGAGAAAAGTACTTCTAAGCCCTAAACAAAAGGCCTAGCGTTTTCCAGCAGCTGCCGCTATTGACGAGATGTGTTCGTGCCAGATCAAGTCCTCGGTGATCTGGACTCCGACCAGCCGAAAAGAACGACTCTTTGGTAGAACTCGGCCATCTTATCGTAGCCGAATGAGCGCCAGGACGCTTCTTTTCGTCAAGGTACAAGGAGAATTGTGATTTAATATTTGATCGCAACTAAAAGAAGGTTGAAAAAACTGAATTAATCACATTGTGATGTACGTGTAAACGTAATAACAGTAGCAATATAAATGTCATCAAACAATCCAACAGTGATGAACAAGCCAACTGATCAACTACTTACATTCGATGGCATGCTGTCGCCGCTGCAACGTTCAGAAAGGGAAACACATAGATGATAAACCTCAACTCCTTATGTGGAAGAAAGGAGTAGAGAAACACAAATATCAAGGCTGGTACCACGACTTTTCGCACTCGCTCGTCTAGAAGACATCCTATAGGCATTAGGAACAGTGAGGCTGCCATACCGCGAGGTATTGCTGAGTAAAAGTACCATAAGAAAGGAGATGTCTAATCTTCATTAAGGATGTTCATAAACGAGAATTTGATATCATGTCAATTGTTTGTTTGACAGTCTGCAACGGAAACATTCTTCCCAAATTATTTTTGTTTCCTTTTACCCCATATTTTTTAATCGAATTTCTGGTGATGATTTACAATGACATTGGATACATTTTGTGTGATTTCCATGAAACACGAATTCTGACCTGAAGTCATCTCGCAGAAATGTTTGTATCAGACAGTGTATTATTAGGATGAGCTCCTAGTACCTGGTCAAAGCATTTAGCCTGGGGATTATTTGATATAATTTACTATAAATGTAAATACATATTGAAATTTTCCTGCTAAGCCGTTGTTTATCATGGAAAGAGTATGTGAATTTGGTTAGAATATTTTATGTCTAAAGGATACTCCCCAGTTTGAACTCTTATTCATAATGGTGTTATACCACAAAACCTCGCCTTCGGGCCATAAGGGTCTATTCCAGAATATCGAGTCCACAATCACAGTAAGCATTAAAAAAGCTATCCCTCCAGGTACAGCAATCTGAAACAATCTGCAAACAGTTCAAGTTATAATGCAAATAATGCAAAGAACTCTGAAATACGTATGTATTTGGTATTTTATTCAAATATGTCCAAATTCTAATATTGAGTCATTTATTTTAACTCGTGAATAACTCGTCAAAAGAAGTTGATATACGATAAGTCACCTATATGTTGCATAATAAGAGAGTTAGTTTAAATTATCAAAAAGTATTAAGAAAAATCATTATCAAGTTAAATGGATACCGTTTTTACAAAAACTGTTCAAAATTGTCCCCATTTGTTTGATTAACGCAAAATCTTGATCGGCGAATCCAGGACAAGCTTCGGCAATAGAATCCTGGTGTCCACGAATTAAACCACAAGCATTTTCAGTGCGCTATTGAAATACTTCCAGAGGATTTACTGCTCCATCATTATACACATACACTTTTAAATTGCTCCACGAAAAAAAATCGCAGACAGCGAGCAGGCCAAGAATCCATCTATTCGTAAACTCATTATTTAGATGTTCATGAGCTTCTCGTTTAGAATGTGGTGAAGCCCCATCATGTAAGAACCACATATTCGCCTCACATTTAGAGGAACATCTTCTAATAATTGTGGTAGATTGTGTCGAAAAAAATCTAAATAAATTTCACTGGTCAGTTGAGGTGGAAAAAAGTAGGGTAAAATAAGCATGTCATTTACCACATCAGCCCAAACTTTATGTTGAAAATGAGTTCTTTTTACTCCATTTCGTGTAAATGTGGCCTCGTCTGTTCACAAAATTAATTTCGTAAGATCTTCATTTCTGCACAACTGTTCTAAAAGCCATTGGCAAAATGCAACTCTTTTAGGATGATCTTCATGCTTGTACCCGTTGATAATGATATTAGGATAATACTGTTCTTGACGTATTGTCTTCCACACTTTACTATGAGAAACTTCAAATTGAGCTGCTATGACTCTAGTACTCATTGTTGGGTCGTCTTTGACGATTTCTAAAATGTCTTCCTCAATTTGTAACATTTCAGGTTGAGCAGGTCTTCCTCGTTGTTCTTTAAATGTCCTGAGTCACGAAGTCTAATAACTAAATTTACAAACATCCGCGCGATGTGCCTGCCAGACAGACCCACCTGACTGTAGCCTCCCATCCTAACCGTGTCCAACTTCGTACACCCAGAACTGGCCGATACGACCGCTCCTTTGTCCGGAGGGTCTCGAGATTGTAGAACAATCTATCAGAGCAAGCTCTTCCCAGTTCTTAGGCAGTTCAAAAATCGTATTAACAAAATTTCTTTGGGATCCTCATAGCAGCCGCGATGTCCTGGCACTTATGCTTCAGCCTGCGCGGCTGCTACGGTATAAAAAAAAAATTCTTAAAGGAAACCTCTCCGCATACAACCTGCATGTTGCGGCTGAGTTTTGTTGGCACTCTCCGAATGGTAGTATTATGTCCACTAGTTCATTGTTTTCGTAAACATTGGCCATATATTCGCACAAAATAATCAGACCGATGAAAAGACTGATACAACTAATCGAAGCAAAGACTCTTACTGAAAATCATACAATAACACAAAACGTTTGCAAAATTTAGATAAACAATAAGAGTGGTAAACAAGAAACGCTAAGATTTTACACTGCAGTGGTCGAGAATATCAAAAAATATGTGTAATAACATACTTTTTTTTTTAAATTGTAATCTCTTACATCAACTCCTTTTGACGAAAATGACTCAACTTTAAAAACACCCTGTATAATTCTATTGAAAACCATTAATAGTATTATTTGCTAGATACTCAACTGGTCAGTTTGTAATAGCTTTTTAATATAGCACATCAAACAATATTTTAAGCACATTAAAGGGAAATACAGAATTGTAATTCTAATGATTAGTATAGTTTTAGTACTAACCTACCGTTTCAAAGTTATCCTTTTGTAGTAAAGATCACATAGCAGCAGTATTCCAAGGAATAGTGTTAATTCTGCCCTAAACATAATTATTGAGGCTCCAGAAAAAAGAATAAAGCTTTTGTTGTCATTTCTCAACCATCCATCTAACGCTAATAAAACTGTAAATAATAGAACGAATTAGCTGTTTGAGACTGTATAGTACTTTGGTAAGTCGTGTCGTTCATATTCTTGATTACTAAAACAAGTCAGTTGTTTTCGATGGATTATCAGAAATTCGTTAAATTATGTAGTGCTATTCAGATGTTGTTTTAAAAATTCATCTTTAAATGGAGTCCTTCACGGGCTGTATCTCCAAATGGAGCCCCATTGACACTCTTTATAGTGACTTGTCACATCATTTTTATTATCTACATGAATCCGAGATCCTATCATATGTTCTAGGCCACCATATTATGAGAAATGAGATTGAAAATTGGTTCTCACATAACAAAATGTTGAGAAACACGGATGTTATGAAGTTATCAAGATAAATGGTCATTCACAAACCTAAAGGCAGCACCATGATATTTGGCAAAGGCCGGCTCAAATAGAACATAAAATGGCTTTGGGTTACAGTAACAGCAATGAACCACTGCAACCATCTTGATCCAAATTGCTTCTCTAATGTTTTGCTGAGAAGAGTGAAACTTCCAATGACACATGCTGCCAAAATTGTTCTCACTGAAAACAAATGTATTATTGGGCAATAACATTAATGTTACACTCAAATATATCTAAATATAGTTTCGATACAATCATGTTTATTATACATAATCATATATAATTTTTTTGTAGATCACATATACAAAACTAATGGATGTATCAAATAATAATAGTTGTAAAGACAATGCTATTCTTTCCCATAAAAATGTTACTATTATTGTTGTTGAAAATGACAATAAAATACCTATACCCTTAGATTTATTTAAAATATGTCAATGCAGTATTTAAATGGCGGAAACCTATTACCACTTTAATATTCTACAAATGTACGAGTGCGGTCCGATAAGTGCTTAGCCTGCTTAGCCTACAAAAGAAAAACAAAAATTTTGGAAAAGCAGCGAGTTATTACTTAACACAGTCTCCTTTTAGCTCGATACACTTGACCCAGCGATTCTCCAACTTCTTTAACCCATCTGAAATATACGTTTTCTGGAGGTCTGCAAAGTAGGCCTCCGTGGCAGCGACAGCCGCTTCATTTGACTCAAATTTCTGCCTGGCGAGAGACTTGATTTCAAGTTTTGAAACAAAACGAAGTCGCACTGGGCCAAATCTGGAGAATACGGTGGATAGGGCAGCAGTTCGTAGTCTCGTTCGACCAGTTTGGCCGTGGCGATGGCGGAGGTGTAAGCCAGTGCGTTGTCATGGTGGAAGAGCACTTTCTTCTTCGCCAAATGGGGCCGTTTTTTTTCTGAAATTCAGCCCAATAATTCAGCATAGTAGAGCCCTGTGACCGTTTCGGCCTTCTCCAGGTAGTCAATATAGATCACGCCTTATGAATCCCAGAAAAGGTGGCCATCACCTTTCTGGTCGATAGGACTGCCTCGAAGCAGGTTCGCCGGGTGAAATCCACTGTTTCGACTGTACTTGGTCTCTGGTGTGTACCAGTGGATCCATGTTCCATCGATCCTCAGGAAACGACGCAGAAACTCCTTCGGATTATGCTTAAACACACACTGCTCTGTGTGGTCTCACGGTTGAGCTTGTTGTCTGGAATGAGTAAACGCAGCACTCATCACGCAAACAGATTTCTCATACCCAGGATATGACCCACGCAGTCTTCTGAGATGCCTAATATCTTAGCTGGCGGTTTGTCAATACGATATCGTCTATCTTTCTCACGTTATCCTCCGTGATAGCCGTTTTCCGGGCACCTGGCCATGGCTCAAAAAAAGCCGACGTGAAACTCGTTAAATCAATGATTGACGATCGCCATCGAAGGGGAAGAGTCAACATACATAGCATCCAAGCAATCTTTGATTTCGCTGCGCAATTTCGCTTCCAAAAGCAAGATCGAATCACTGACCGGTATTGCATTTTTCTGAAATCCACACGCTGTGAAAAGAAAACTACAAGTCCGATTCTGCTGAAATTCTGACAATAGCTGTCTACAAGAATGTACTATACAATAGTAATTTTCTCTTGCAATAGTGGCCCCACCAGGCAGTGAGGCTAAGTACTTTTCATATGTAAGAATATAAAACTACAATATACTTGTTTTTATTGATGTTAATGTAATAAGTTGCAGGAAAAATAGGAAATGTGCCTCACCTAAATATTGTGTCCAGAACTTATTGATGTGTAAAGCTTCAAATATACAAACTATAGGTGCTGCTAATAATGAAATAAACATTGGCCCAAGGAAGGTTCTTGGCACTACCCCAGGAAACTCATGATGGTCATACTAGAAGAAGAAGACGTATAATAGAACCTTATAGACAATAAATAAAAATGTGATGATGAAAAGATATGATATGGTATTGTTTTATCATTTTTGTTGACGTTAGACAATTATGACAACTTGGGTTATGGGTATAACTGATGTGGGGAATTCAGCTATAACTTTTATAACAATGAAAGATTCTGCATACCTCTTATACTTTCGAAAAATACTACAAATCTAAGAAAGTGGTTAGTAGTTTGTTTTACTTGATGCAAGTGTCTACACAGATGAACTATAGCAAATTGTATTTTAAAATAATAATAATTAGGGAGTAAAAATGGTTATCATTTTGTTACAATCCTTTTTGTCATTTAATGTCCATTATATTTTACTATCGTAAAAAACAGCTTAGCAATTGTAGGAAACTGAAAATAACTAACGAACTGACTGATTTTTGTGACGATCCTTTCTCAACAAGCCCGGTCTTAACTGAAAAACACATTAGAAAATATAGCTTAAGTCATCAATGAAAATGTATTAAGAAAAACATTGATTGACTCGATCTCCAAAATAGGAAACGCTAATGCAATATTGAGTAACACAAAACATAGTGCAATACCTGTGATATGTTGAATCTGTAGTAGAGAATATCATGCATAGCCTGAATGTTGAAGCTCTCTTCCACTTTTGTGAAGGGGCAATAAACCAAATGGGCGGAAGCCACAATAAACATTAGTTGAGACATCTTAAATTTAAAATCCGCTACCTTTTTATATACATAATTAATAAAAATAGATCAACACGTCCCAAAATAGAAACAACCTAACCCAAATTTATCATAAAACCACTTTCAAATTTCAAAAACTTGACCGCTTGACATAAAGCGCGCCGCATAAAGTCCCTAATGACAGATAAAATCAAATCCAAGCGAATAACCACAAAACATATACACTGAAGAAGGTTTAATTCCATGCTATTCAATGGCAACACGGTGACTTGTATGGTTGTCAGCGGCCATTTTTTGAGGGTGCGACATGGTTGCCAGATTGTGCATTAATATCCCGCAGCGTTGCCAGCTCTGCATATAAATCTGAGATTGCTATACTTATATATACAGGGTGTCCGCAAAGTTGGGGTTTTCCGTTACACGACATGTAGATCTTGAAAACATAAGCAATTTTTCTTAGTACCATATACACCAATGTCTTAAGGGAACCAAGATAAAGGGCTCTGCAACATCAAAAATATCTGAATACGTCCTCTAACCGCGACATCCCCGAGTGGTACTAGGACACTAGCTCAACCCGACGACAGAACTGGGTCGGGGTCAGTGTGTCAGGTCAGTATGCAACCTTCAACCGACGGTTACGGTCACGCTTGTAGAGGTAATCGCGTAGACGAGAATCCCTCAACAAGCACTAGAGACGTGGCTAGAGAAGTGCAAGTATCAAAAACTAAAGTGTGGCAAACGCTGCGTGAAGAGGGGCTGTATCCGTTTCACGTCCAACGTGGACAAACCCTTCAACCTGACGATTTTCCAGCAAGTGCGGTTTGTGAGTGGTTGTTGCATCAACATGACAATAATCCGGACTTTTTGAAGTGCATATTGGTGACAGACGAATCTACGTTCACGCGTAATGGGGTGAATAACTTTCGCAACACTCATGTTTGGTCAGTAGAAAATCCGCACGCTGTCCGTGGTGAACGGTATGCTCATTGGACCATTTATTCTCCCAAATCGATTGGACGGGATGCAATACCTAGACTTTTTACGCAACATTTTGCCTTCCTTGTTTGCCTGCGTCTGCTCGGGAGCGCATCAGCTGATTTCATTTTCTGTTGGAGCGGTATGATTTCGGGCAGAGACGTACTTAGCCCTTCTCGTCAACTGGAGAGTGAGTACTTTTTCCTTTATTTTTTTTTTAAGGTCAATAAAATAAACCCTTGATTATGAATACTTGTAATATCACTTAATTAAATTTGGCATGTCAAGAGGCATTCCTTTAATTTTACCTGCCTGTTTTGATAGACAGTGATGGTATGCCGTTTATTTCTCTTATTAAAATTTTCAATCACTTTAAAACAAAAATCAAGGATTTTTTTCAATCTGTTGCACGGTTTTCATAAAAACGATCATAACAATATTGCTAACAAGACAATATCATCATGCAAAGAAATTTGTTATTTTTTATGTGGAAATCTTGGGTCGGAGATTAAATATTGAATTCTTTTAGTCTGACGGACTGTTTTCACCAGAAAAATACAATCTGTTTCTCGACATTGTCATACTAACGATATTAAGATCATGCAAAAAAAAAACGTTGTTTTATTATATTTATAAGCGAATACCGTGCATCGGAGTGAAAAAAATAAACGATCAAATTTGCTTAGAAATGACGGGATTTCAAGAGTAGTTTTTATTTTAAGAGTTCTATCATTGTCTGCCAAAATAGGCAAGTGATATCAGTACGAACATCGCTGGTGGAAATTAAAAGAAAATTCGTACATTAAAAATACTTCTTGATAGTACATCTATGCCGAATTTTAATAAAGTATTTAAAGTGGTATTACAGATGTTAACAAAAAAATTATTGATTTCTAAAAAGTTTACCGCTCCGCTTCTCAAAAGTCAAGACGTTTAGGCCATACGATTATATGAAGTTTTCTTCTTAAAATGGAACTAAAAGTCACCTTCTTAAATATTGACATTCAGTTGGAAATACTATATATTTTATGTAAGTAAATCCAAAATTATTAAAAGTTATTGTAATGCTATTGTAGTTTTTCATTTTGGATATGATTTTTTTGCTATATATTTGTTCATATTTCATGTTATTAGTTGTACCTTATAGATATAAAGACTTCATTTGATTACTGATACTTATGCGTTTTGACATACTATCTATGAATTCCTTAAAAATTTCATATATTATATTTTTCAGTTGGTAAGTATTTGCAGAATATACATAAAAGAATAATTGGTAAAATAAATATTTTTTATTCTCAATTGTATACCCACAGAAATGTTTTTTCTTTCAAAAATATCTAGAAATATAGATTTCATCAATGTTTAATCCTTATTTTCTCTCAAAACAAATGCATTTTCTCTAGCATGTTAACTAGATTATATGCTATTTTCTAAATTACAAGCTATGTAAACAGTGCTAAAACGATATCTAATCAATTATTACAAACAAATCTTTCTAATTTGGGGGTACATTAGATCATATTTGGAAAGATAATTAACTGTAGGTACAAACTTCTTGAAATATCCAATTTAAATATATTGACTCTTCTTTTTTTCCCTCTAATAACGTTCCTTACACTGAGTTATTCTGTCTTGTACCCTGGGGCTATCAGGATTGGATGTATCTTTGAGAAATGCAAGTAGATCTGAAAGAATACTATTATCAGTAATAGTGATTTCTTATGTTTTAGTCCTAGGTACTAATATAACCATAAGTGTTAAAATTTGTATTTGATATAGCATTTGGGCTAGTTCACTGGAGATTTTTACTTTTGTGATTGTCACTGTGCTATGATGTCAAGTATTCAATCTCAAACCCATGGCATCAGCTTTGTGAGATTTTGTCAAATAGAAATGTTGATTACAGTATTCAAAAAGGCACTTTATCAAACCTTCCCAGGCCTAACAAAGCTCCTCTTGAACTCGATAGCTTTTAACTTTTATGATTATACAGGCCTATGCCTATGTTAATTTACAAATTGCAGTGTAACACATGTCAGTCAGAAAAAGAAAATTCACTTATTATTTCTGTGAGGTTGGCTCCTTCTAGGGTTGGGCATAATAGTTCACCTGAAAGAGCGCTCAATATAGTTCAAAGAATATAAGTGAACTAGTTCGCTCTTTTAGTTCAGTAGTTCACTGACACGAGGAAGATCTATGATCCATGTAGCTACAGTGGAATATATATATATATATATATATATATATATATATATATATATATATTTACATCTCCATGTGGATCGGTAATCCTTTCAATTCCCAGCAATAAGTCACCTACCAGAAATATCGAATATATATCAAATTTGATTCGTGTATATCCAACAAAAAGGCAAACTGATCCAGGATCAGCTCAAAAAACTGTACATTAACATTTCGGATTTTCATATAAAGTCCGCTATATAGGTCTACCTTTTAAAAACCGTAAGATGTGTCCTCTACCGGAATACCCTTCAGATCACAAAACGGCATTCGGTCCCCCAGAATACTCAAATTAACTAAACACCAGTAGATAAGTCATCCGTGCAGTGGTGCCAAGTTTCATTTATTTCTCTTTACATAATACTACTGAAGTCTCCTAACTTGGACTTGTATTATTATATTATTTTTCAAGGATCTCCAATGGATATAACCAAAATTCTTTCCAGCAACTTTGAGTACACTATTTGCTCGATTAAGACTATACAAAACGTTGCTAGCATACGACAGAAGGATGCCCAACGTTTCGTAAATTATAACTTACCTATGCAAAAATTATCAGATCATCGAGCAGCCCACACAATCAAGAATACTTTTTTCTATTACATGTCCAGGAGGTTGTATGAACTTTCAGATCGAGCACTTTGCTTTTCCAATAGCCTATGTCGTATCGACGACATCCTAATGATGATAAGCTTTAGACGCGTAATTTCCAAATCTGTGATATTAGCAGTTGAAATACTTCCCTGCCCTCCGGTTCGCAAAAAACAGCATTGAGTATCCTAAAATACTTGAATTACCTAATCACTATACTGAGCCTTACAATCATGTGACGTTATCTTTGGATAAGGAAATCACCATTCATGTTTGGTACCATCTATCTATGAGAATATTCCTAATCTTGAAATAAAATCGTATATCAACGATTTTCTCTAATAGCTCAGACTTAACCATATAGTCACGCCAACCAAAAGCCATATGATACAATCGTCCATCAAAATACCTTCGGATTCACAAAAAAACAGCACTGAGTCTCCCAAAATACTTGAATTTACTAAACCCTGCTAGATCGGTCTTCCGTGCAGAATAAATACACTTCTACCCTACGATTCACAAGAAACCAGCACTGAGTCTCCCAAAATACTTGAATTTACTAAACACTGCTAGATCGGTCTTCCATGCAGAATACTCTTCTACCATACGATTCACAAGAAACCAGCACTGAGTCTCCCAAAATACTCGAATTAACTAAACACTGGTGGATCAATCTCCCATGAAGAATACTCTTCAATACGCAAACCAGTGCTGAGTCCTCCACAATACCCGAACTAGCTGAATGGCGTACGTCTGACGTCAGATCGGTCTCCCGATCATTTTAATTCCAGTCAATAAAGCGCGTGCGCCCGGGGATAGGGTTTGTCGGTTTGTCTAAGATCTGAGAATTCATTTTATTGGCACCAATCGTGCTGGAAGGACGTTCAAATCTGTTGTGTATTCAAGAGTGTGTCTGAAAGGACTGTTGAGGTAAGTATGACTTTTTGAACTCTTATGCAATCGTTAATAGGATATGATGGTAATATGACTGTATTACTTACATTTAATGGAAAAGCAATGAATATTGAGTAGCGTGAAGGATAAAACAATGCTGTTCAAAAGGTCAACCCCCATAAATTTTACGCCAAACTTTATCTAATCTTGTTGGTTTAGTTTTGTATAGGTGATTCTTGAATGTAAAGCTACAATGTTTTTTTTTTCAAGTTAAAGAACAGGGTCAAGTAGATTGAGTGTGACCATACATCACTGAAAATTTAAAAATAGAATACTTCAATCAAAGCTCATTTTGGCTTTTTTCTAGCTGCTGCTTTACATCTTTTTTAGGGTACATACCTGTATATGTACTGATTCCGTTTTTTGCATTATAATACAAAATCACTACAGACTGTGCTTTTGACTCACGGTGTCAAGTAGCTCGACTTTATATGTAGACAATGATAATTTTAAACGGGAGATTGTGTTGATTATTTCCTATATGGTACAGTAGCGGGGTGATAAAATTCTAAATCTAAAATTGCA